TTTTTTCCTTTGCTCACTTCCTGTCGACAGGTTTTGCTTGCTCTGCCCCTTGACTTTATTTAATCTTCTTTGCAGAAATCTTCTGGATTAAAGGAATGTGCTATGGCAGAGTCCCACCACAACCACAGCTAGAAACAGGCCTTTCCAGTATACAATCTAGAGGTTCACAATGTGATCGAATATCCTGCAACGCTCCTGGCCTTCAGTGCCAGAGTTGGAAGCAGCCGGCCTCATGGGTTAAACAGGTTGTAGCTTCTCAGCCTCTCCAGAATATAGACAGCAAACACTGTCTAAACCAACCTAACAACCCCCTTTTCATAGAACACATTCTTGCTATCTGTTTTTCAGAGAACGCTGAGTAGCACAAGATTAGATTTGAATTAAGTCTTTTGGACTGAGGTTACTTTGTTACTTATTTTGGCTTAGAAATCCAGTAGTGAAGTTCAGACTTAAATCAGGGGCACTCGCACTGTGAGTCACTGTGACCTTTCCATGGAGAAGGGAGCACCTAATGCCATTAGAAAACACAGATGTTTACGTTATGACTCATAACAATAGCAAAGTCACAGCTATGAAGTAGTAATAGGAACAATTTTATGGTTGGGGGTCACTGTATTAAAGGGTCACAGCATTAGGAAGGCTGAGAGCCACTCTCTTAAGTCGTTAACTGGAAACACTGGAGAGTTAAAAATGAGTTCCTCGTACTTTCTCCATTTCTTCAAAGTCAAGGGCTTTGGGGCAGGGAGTGCGTGGTAGAAATTCTCAGGCTAACACTGTTGCAGGGTACCCATTCTGAAATACCACACTCTTCACTCTTCCCTCCAAGTTCACTAATGACTTTAAAATCTGAGCACCCCCACTTTTGATGGCCTCCAGTGGCACCATCCCCATGTGCCACTATTTTAACATGTGCAAAGAACCATGTCATATGTGCCAGACAGCTCCCTGGAGTCTTGTGTTCATCAAAGAAGCAACATGGGTCCATCAGAAGACTTAATCTTTTTGTAACCATTCACTTTCAGTGTCTTGGTCCAAAGAATTGTGGTCTTAGATACCAGATATATGTGTTGAAATAAAGCTAGGTTTAATGTATGCCTGTGTCCATCTCTGTGTGTGTGTGTGTGTGAGAGAGAGAGAGAGAGAGAGAGAGAGAGAGAGAGAGACAGAGAGACAGAGAGACAGAGAGGACATTGATTTTTCTTCAACCTGATACTGAGTTTCTTAATTCAAGACTGTGCTTCACTGTGAGTTTCCTAACTTTAGGTTGTGCTTGCTAACATTTATTTATTTATTTATTTATTTATTTATTTATTTATTTATTTATTTATGTATTTATTATTTATCTATTTATTATTTTAAATTCATTTTATTAATTACAATTTATTCACTTTGTATTCCAGCTGTAGCCTCCTCCTTCGTCCCCTCCCAATCCCACCCTTCCTCCCTCTTCTCCTTCCATACCCTACCCCAGTCCACTGAGAGGGTTGTCCCTCCTCCCCTTCCATCTAACCCTAGCCTATCAGGTTTCATCAGGACTGGCTGCATTGTCTTCCTCTGTGGCCTGGTAAGGCTGCCCCCCCCCCGCCCGCCAGGAGGAGGTGATCAGAGAGCCAGCCACTGAGTTCATGTCAGAGATAGCCCCTGTTCCTCTTACTGGGGAACCCACTTGGACACTGAACTGCCATGGGTTACATCTGTGCAGGGGTTCTAGGTTATCTCCATGCATGGTCCTCGGTTTCAGAAAAGACCCCTGTGCCCAGATTATTTTAGTTCTGTTGCTCTTCTTGTGGAGCTCCTGTCCCCTCCAGGTCTTTCATCTCCCCCTTCTTTCATAAGATTCCCTGCATTCTGCCCAAAGTTTGGCTATGAGTCTCAGTATCTGTTTTGATACCCTACTGGGTAGAGTCTTTTAGAGGCCCTCTGTGGTAGGTTCCTGTCCTGTTCCCTGTTTTCTCCTTCTGAATGCAGATTAATCATCCCAGGGTCCTCCTTCTTGCTTAGCTTCTTTAGTATGATTTTAGTATGATTATCCTATATTATATGTCTAATATCCACTTATAAGTGAGTATATACCATGTGTATCTTTCTGGCTTCTGGGATAGTTCACTCAGGATGATCTTTCCTAGTTCCCACCATTTGCCTGCAAATTTCATGATTTCCTTGTTTTTAATTGCTGAATAGTATTCCATTGTGTAAGGGCTTGATAATATTTACTAGGTTCATTGTTCATGATGAGGTCTGGCACATGAGAAACCTTCAATAATTATTTGTTGCTAAGATATAGAAATTGATAAATCAATGTTATTTTATTTACATAAGCATATATATTATAAATGCTAAAGAAGTCTGATCTTGTAATATGTTTTCAGTGTAGTTAAAAACATTGTTTCTTTCCTCTCTGACTTATCCTTTGCATCTGCCTTCACATCCAGTGAGACTGGAAAAGCTGAAGACATTTCTGGGGTTGGGACCAGGAGGGGCTAAGTTAGGACACATTCTCTCTGGAATTAATGGGCTATCTGTGTATATTTATGTGACTGACATGTACTTCCTATACAGTTGTGCCTTCCTGGGATAGTGATAGCTTCCAGAGATTCCTCTGCTTACAGTGAACCCATCCCTGTGGTGACCCCAGCATCAAGTACAGAGTCTAAGCCACGATGTGAGAGCCTCCTATGGTTCGTGGAACTAGAGGAACCTGAATGATAAAGAACAAACAAGCGGGAAGCTACAGTGTTGGAAGGAAGCTGTGAATAAATCTTCGGAGTTAGCAAAAGTGCCAGAGTTTTCTAAATTGTTAACAACAGCAAAATAACTTTTTGTTGGAACACAGTCCAATAATGGTGTTGTGTAAGGTGGTTTCAAAGTGCTTGGGGGAAAACTACAAGAAACCAAGACAAGAGTGAGCTCAGTTCTTTCAAAACCACTGAATTGTTCTTGGATTATGATTTTGTGCCCTTCCCAGGTGTAGTAGATAAGGGTGAGTTTACTTCAGATTGTTCATTACAACTAGCTACTTTTATTTATTTATATATCTCTATATTTTTGTTACGTGCCCTAATCTGCTATGTGTGGCTATGACTGTACACTTACACTCTCAGCCCTTAGGATGTAATTGTTTGCTGATGTGATTAAGTGGGCTGTTGTGTGAGACTTTAGTCCTCTTCGTTTATTGGCTCAACTTTTCATGAATAAGATATTGCCATTTATCTTTAGGAACTATATATTACAAAATTGTCCGTGATCACAAACACAAACTATAAGAAAATACATCAAGCAGGTAACTAAGATAATATGTTAATAAACTTTTTTCTTCAAGCAGCATTATAAAAATTGGAATGTGATTTTTTTTTGCCTTTTGTCTAACTTTGCTTTTAATTTTTTGCAGTATTTTTGACGTAGTTTTGCATCATGCATATGCTAGTCAGGATTCTCTAAATGAAGAAAACCGAATCTATCTATACATCCATCATCTATCTATCTATCCAGCATCTATCTACCTACCTACCTATCTATCTATCTATCTATCTATCTATCTATCTATCTATCTATCTATCTATCTACCTACCTATCTACCTATCTATCTATCTATCTATCTATCTATCTATCTATCTATCTATCTATCTATCTACCTATCTATCTACCTGTCCATCCATCATCCATCTATATCTATGTATCTATGTATCTATGTATCTATGTATGTATCTATCTTTATCTAGAAAGGGGATTTATTAGAATGGCTTACAGGCTTGTAGTCAAGCTAGCCCAACAATGCCTGTCTACTAACAGAGGTCCAAGAATCCAGTAGTTGCTCTGCCCACGAGGCTGGTTATCTCAGCTGGTCTTCAGTACATTCTACAATCCCAAAGAAGTAGGCTCTAGTGCCAGTGAAGAAATAAGACTTTCCAGCAAGAGTAAGCAGGCATAGAGAGATTCCTTCTTCCATATATCTTATATAGGCTGCTAACAGTGTGGCCCAGATTAAAGGTGTATCTTCCCATCTTTTAACTTCATATGATGTTTTTATTTCAAATGATTTAATTAAGAAAAAGTGCCTCATAGGTTTACCCAAACACTTGGATTTTAGTTAGTTCCAAATGTAGTCAAGTTCACCACTAAGAATAGCCATTGTAATGCACCTAATCACTCAGTGCTTACTCTCCTATCATTTATGACTAGAAATTAAACTCGCAACTACAGCTCTGATATGTATCGCCAAAACTAACAGGCGGTCTTTTGAGGCATAAATTTTATTTTAAATGTGTCACTACTGCATTCTAGTTGAATTTTTTAGGAAATAGTTTATGTTAATTTTAGCTGTAACAGTGGTATTGTGGCCATCTTAAAAGCCCATATGCAGATATGTAATAGAAATGTTTATGGACCAAATGATGTATCTAGGATGCTTTCCGAAATCCTAGTGGCAGAGGAGTGGAATGAAATACGAATGAGATGGTTTTCACCAAAGGTCTGGAATGTGGCTACTGGGCACTGGTCTTTGTTTCTGAGGGTCCAGAGTTCTCTATCGTAAAACGAATTAAGGTATTCAGTCTGGCTGTCAAACTCAATGGGCATAACTCTACTTGATGTGCTGTCTCTGACTTGTTTTGTGCTGTTTGATAGAGTTAATCTGTTAGTGCTATCTCAAACAGCTTTATCTATGTGTTCCTCCTTTCCATCTCAGTTACTTATTCTCCCTCTTGTCCACAGTTGAATATTCCTCCTACTCACCATTCAGCCATGACGGTGGGAAAAGGGCTTCTGGTCTGCGGACCTCTCGTTAGGATTACAGAAAGTAGAATCAACTGAAGGGAGAGCTCTTATCTGGTATGATAGAACACAGTCATGCCCTGCTCCCCCCCAGCCTCCAAGAACAACTTCATAGATCTATCAAGACATAAAGCAGATGAGCTGAGTAAAGACATCTCATGTCTCAAGGAAACATGACAGTCTACTGTTTTATTTTCATAGACTATCACAATAGCAAGCAGGGTTCCAATTCAGGAGCATCCACGTGCCACCGGTATCAGCCCATATCGGACTGTATTAAAGGCCCCTGCGAGTGAGTCCAAAAATTTTTTTGATGAACTCCATCGATTACAAGAATTTGAAATATTTGCCACTTGCGGAATTTGGAAGTGTCTCTTTTGTAATATGTTAGGGGGGACAACCCAGCGAATGGTTTGGGGGATAACATCCATTGAATCTGCTGGTACACAGACATAAAAAAAGGGCTGTTTTCCTCTTCTTTCTGAATAGAATTTGATATTCTGCCAATGAGAATTTGGCTCTGGCATCTGATTGGTTTGTGAATTTGACTCTTTTGATTCACAATGATATAGTCTTTTTTTCCTTGCCTGCTTTTTTTCACCGTGAGAGTGGCTGCAATCTGAACTCTGGTAGATTTGGGACTTTCTCCATAAATCAGATTTAGCCTTCCTTCTTTCTTTGATTTGTGGGTACATGTGAGACTTGCCATGTTTTTTTGTGAGACTCAATTTAATATTTGATTCGGTTGTTGAGGAGGTTAAAGAGTAGCTTGTTCTGCTCCATGTGGTCGTGGTCCAGTGCTTTGCTTTACTGAACGTTATGGAAGATGATTTAGACTCGATTTCAATAGTGTTGGCTGAGCTGTGAGACGGCCAGTCAGAAGGCTGCATTTTGGAGTTTGACCTACATTTCCTGTTATTTTTAAACTGATAGCAAGGGGAGGTATGTTTCCTACAGATTCTAGTATTGTCATTTGGATCTTCAGAGTAAAATGGTTTCAAATAAGTTGCTTCATTGACTTTGTGAATATTTGTCAATGGAATGCCTTTGGGTACCTCAAACAGAAGCTCCTGTGAATCCTGAGTTAAGCAAAAATTTGTTTCTATAAACACACATTCCTCACTGTCACTTACTTCAGGAGCTGGACATTCCACCACGTCAGTTGATGTCTCAGTATTTAGGGGGATATCGATCCCATCATCAGAAATCCCATCATCAAAATTTGAATCAGATAAACCAGCAGTATTTTGCTGAGTTCCTGAAACAGAGTGCTTGTATGAATTGGTTTCTTGAAACCACACATGACATTCTTTATCCCTTTCTGTTGTCATTTCTAATTTTAAATCTGAAAGAATTATATCATTCTGTTCTGTGCCTTCTAGACCAGGGAAAAAGGCAGGCACATTGGTAGACTTCTGGAATTTTCTGGAGGGTAATGACTTTTCTTGTGCATTTTGCTTTAGAAAAGAAACATGCAAAAGTTCTTTGTCAAAGGAATGAGTACTACTTTCCTCACTTGCTTCTACTTTTATATATTCTGAGCCTGAATCCACGCTTAACTTGGCAGTGGGTTTGGAAAGTGCATTTGGCCTAGAGATCACAGTGAGAGGTTTAGGGAGCGATTGGAGATATTTGTATTGCAAATCACAGTCAATTTCACAAAAAGATTTTTCATTGAAAAGTACTAAAACTCTGTTTGTTTGTTTTGGTCCTTTTGTGGCAGGATGGATACACTTAAATAAAGGTTTTGACTTATCCTGAGCATTGGCTATTGCATAAGATTGTACTACAATTCCGGGAAGGCCTATTGTTTGTATCTCCACTGTTTTGGCACAAAGGTGTGCAAGAAGGTCTTCCTTTTCTTTCTCTGAGAACTTGTGAAGAATGTGACTCTGTGGGAGATTACTCAAAGTTGCTAGTGATGTTACACTTTCTTGCTTTTCAATGGCCTTTGGTTTTGTCTTAACCATCGAGACCATCATGCTGCTACTTGAAACATTAGTAGTTGTCTTCACACAGCTGAGAGGATGAACATCTTGGTAATTGTTTTTTAAGTTAGCTTGTATAGTATCAACCTTTGGAGACTTAAACTTCTTTTCTGTATGTTTTTGATAAAGACTGCAACTGTAATCTTCTGAAATAGCCCTTTGGGGGTGAGAATTACACTTCTGTAATGATATGTTCACCATCTCTGGAAGCTGATTCAGTTTTATCTCAGTTGCTTTAGAAACTAAATGCATAGGAAGCTTATTTTTAAATTCTGGAGTTAGCTGTTTTAAAAGAGGTGTGCATAGCAATGTGGCATATGTTTCTGATGATGTGTCTGGACCCTCCAGCAAAGAAGATGCCTTTGCATCACCAGGCTGGTAGGCTCCTACTTGCTCCAGTATTTCAGAAAGACCTTGGTTTTGGATCTTATTTTCAACAGGGTATTCAAAGACACTTTTAAGTGCTTTATAAGCGGGAAACAAATGTTCTGCAAGTGTTTTGCTTTCATTGTTCTTATCTTGAAGTGTTGTGGGCAGAGTTTCTGGAGCAGCTTCCCCTTGCTCAGAAAGCATGGGACATTCTCCCATCTTATCAAACAGCGAGGTCCCAGATAGTGGTTGTAGACTTTGAGTGAGGACATTTCTACTTGAGGTTCTTCTCAAAAGAGTTTCTATAGTGTCCTTTAGATCTTCAGATGTACACGGGTACCCTGGGGTTGTCAGAATGTCATTTTGTATTTCTTTTTCCTCAGTCAAGGTATTCATGTCAAGTTCATGTATGACCTTTAAGTCATCATTCCCTGGAGCAATCCTTTCTCTTGTTGGTATACATAGGTTCTTGTTTATTTCACATTCTAGGTTTACTTCTGGCTCCACAGCAGGAAGTTTCTGTATTTCCTGATCATTCACCACAAAGGGCTGAGAATCCTGCAACAATGGGTTTGTAAAATCCAGTTCCTTTACAATTGTTATGATGTCCTTAATTTTTCTAGCATCTGGTAATTTCTCTTGGAATTTAGAATGACAGACTCTGTTTTCCCTTTTTAGGTTTGTTTTTGAGTGAACTGTTCCTTCATTGTAAGGTGGGCTTATTTTGGAAACATAAAGACTTCTGATGATGATTCCTAAGGAGGTGTCTTTGCTGCTTGGAACCATGGTTTTAGGTTTGTTGAAGGCATATTCTAATTTCTTTTTATTGCTTGGACTACCGCATCCTGTGATACCAAGCATCTTTGAAATTGGGTGCTTTGGGATTCTCATAGTCAAATATTTGGGTTTCATTTCTCTCTTCAGGTTTGTTACTGTGAATCTGTTTTTCTGGCTTTTCAGACAAATAGGAATACAGGTACTCAATAAATCAATAATTATTGTTTGAAGAAATTTTTGTTCTTGAAGGTTTTGCTTTACAGTAGATATATCTAACTCCTTTTTAAGCTTTTCCTGGGCTGGGTAGTTTTTCTTTTTGGGAGTGACTACCTGAGACTTGTTCTGCAATTCTTCTGTTCCTGGAGAAAGAACATGGCGTGTAGTGCTGCTGGTCTTCTCTCTAGCTTTATTCTCCAGATTGATGGTACAGCTCTTCTGCATTTCTCTTTTGTCCTCTCCTAGGTTGATACCTCTGCTTCTATCTGTTTTGAACTTCCTTTTTTTCTGAATCACAGTAGAATTGTTGTCCATTACTAATTTTTTCTGTTTCAAATTTACATTGGAGACTGTGTTAGTTTCATCCTTTTCTTCCAGGTGTCTAGATTTCAGTAGAGAGTCATGAGACTTCTGAGACAATGCTAGATCACACTGTTCTTGTTCTGGAACAATCGATGGTGAATCTTTTTTCCTTCTTGTGGTAATAAACTCTGTAGTACTCATGTGTACTCCTGACTCTATTTGTGAACTGATACATACTACATGTTTCTTTTCTACATCTGTTTGTAAAGGTGTCCTCTGATTTCTGCTATGAACTGGAAGATTAAGAAAAGGAAATGATTCTGACTTTAGCTGCTGTCTACTTTTGGACAGAGACGTGCCTTGCACTTTCATGATCACATTTTGTTCTTCCTTTCTTTGAGACTTACTCACACGTACAATGCTTAGTTTTTCAAGTGATGTCTTTTCTGGAGTTAGCATTTTGCTTATTGTAGCATTGCTCTGTCTATCTTTCTTTGGCCTATAAGACTTACCTAAACCAGTTTCCTGTTCTCTCTCTGTCACAAATACTTTTGAATATACAGGGGTGTCACTTGTGATCAATGTTTCCTTGAGTGATTTCTTTGGTGGAGAAACGGGAAACTTAGGTTTTGCTTTATGGCTTAAATTATCTTTGGTTTCCTTTTTCTCCCAATTTCCAATTTTTGTTGAAGGTTCTTTTCCACATTTTTCTGGCTGATCCTTTTGCCCTTTGATGAACATGTCCAGCATTTCCTCCCCTTTTATGGTACTTAATCTTGTGAGATCAATTTTGTGATATGGGGAGGCTGACTCACATTCTGATTCTACTTGTCGATGTTCACTTATTCGCTGGGGACTGGTCGTACACTTTGACTTCTGTGGTCTGGCTTGTTTCAGTAGCAGGTCGTGAACTGTTGCCTTAATAGTATGTGGATAGGAAGATTTTGTAAATCCTGCTGTGCCTTTTTGTGTTTCGTCCTGTGAACATCTAGAAGCTGCTGATGGTATGGACATGAAAGTCCGCGATGTAACCACAGCGAGTTCACTTTTGTTTTTGTATATTTTTTTCTCCAGAACCTTCATATTCAGGACAAATTCTTTTGCATTAAGAAGATGTGAAATTGACGAGACCTGTGCTGCTGTGCAGTGCACTCCAACTGTCAAGTCTACTGCTTCTTTTACATGTTTTTCATATTGTTTTTCTTTTCTGACATGATCACACGTGTCCTCTCTGTCTGTCATTTTTTCTGCGTCTGATAATGCTGGAACCATTTGTGGGAGTAGGAAAGATGGTTTATTCTCTAGCCTTTCTTCATCTACTTGTACACCTCTACACATGGTTGTAGATCTAGAAGTATACATTTTTCTTAAAATTCGAGGTTCACTCACACCTTCATCAAGTTTCTTTGATTTGAGTGGTTTAATGTGCATATGTAATTCTGTTCTGTGGAGCTTCTGAGACAGAGCTGATTTCCGTGACTTCAAAGTTACATCCGTGCCTCTTCTGTCTGTCATTTCTTTTCTGTATGTCTCTTCTCTCTGATACATATGTTTTTTTTTAACATCTTTCATGGAGTCACCAACAATGGCCTCTCTCGGTACTGTTTTTTTTTCAGTTGATATTCTCTGCAAAGCAGAATTTCTAAGTCTTTGTTTTGTGTTATTGTATTCTATCTTCTCATACAATTTGGGATGAGGCAGATCTGGTGATAAAGGAAATTCAGTCAAAATCAAGTCCTGTTCATCTTTAAGTTTCTGCACCTTCATTTCTTGGTACTTGTGATTTGTTAGGATATTTGCTATTTGCACTCCAGCTTCTTTTTCCTTTGACATATGTTGTTTTTCATTTTGTAGATTAATTGAAGTATGTCTGGTAATTGGCTGAACGTAAATTCCTTCTTTAGAATCTGTTGGTTTTTGTAAATATCCTATGAAAACAGAGGATCTTTTTAACACTGGTGTACATACTTCCTTGATTCCAGTATTCAAAGTAAGGATAGGTTGGGGAGGCATAGCAGTGGATATCTTAGCCAACTTTTTAGTTAATGTTACATCTGGCTTACTTCCATCTTCTTTGACCTTTTCCCCCTGCCCTCTAGTTTTCCACTGTAGGTCACTCAAATTCTGCACATGTAGAGTAGGTGATTTTTTGATCTTCAAATATATATTCATAGGGCGCACTATACTGTTCATAACCACATGTTTTTCTTTACCAACTTTTTCTTTCTGTGGCATGTATTCTTTCAGTAATTTTATTTCACTGTAAACTTCTCTATCAGCTAATTGTGAACCTGAAAGTTTCTTGAGCTGCAGTTGTGATATAGACAATTCTACAATTGTATTTGCCAGATCCACAAAATTTTTTTCCTGGGTTTTCCTCTGCAACTCTTTGATGGTGAGTGTATGTGATCGTGGTAAGTTCTTCACCTTTTCATCTATTGATGTGGGCATCATGTTGTCTTTCACATATTTTTTGAGTCTATTCTTTTCTTCTTCTTGTGTTGGTTCTTTTCTGTTCCTTAACACATAACCTGATGATTCCATGCACACCTTTTGGTCTGAGACGGATACATCTTGAATCTTTGGTAGTAGAATAGAAATTTGTATTTCTCCTAGTAAATTTTTTTGTTCATTCATCCTAGTGTCTGACTTCAGGAAAGATGGAGAAGGCAAAAAAGCAGTTTCCTTTAGAACCACCACTGGTTCACTTTTGCCTAGTTCAACATCTTTCCTTTGCTCTTTAATATTAAAAGTTGGTATCATTTCGTCATTCAAATGTGCTTTCAAAGCTATGCTATCTTTGCCCTGTTTATCTGTTACACTGTACTTTGCCTCTTCATATAACTCTTGCTGATTGGCTTGAATTATTACATTATGTAGAATAATGCCTTCATTTGAACCTGCATGTATGAGTTTCCCTGTACATGAAGTCATAAGAAACTCATCCTCTAGAGGAGACAGTCCGTAGTGAGGTACAGAAGGCATGGAAGTAGCAATTTTTGTTGCAAACACAGTAGGCTGTCTCACTTTGTCATGTTTTGGTATTGTCTTTTCTTCACTGTTTCTCATTGAGGTACTGTGCTCATTGACAAGGAACACATGAGTAGGTGCAGATATATTTGCCTTTAAAACTATGCCACTGCAGTATGTTGAACCATCCAGGAGTGGGGTTTGTACTTCTTCTTGCTCTGAATCCTGTTTTCTCCTTTTTGCACATTTAGCAATTTGCTTTGTGGATGCTATGTGCCCTATAGCTACTGATACAGAAGCATCACTTTTTGTTGCAACCACATTATGGTATCTTGCTCTTTTCTGTATAGGTCTTGTTTTTTCATTACAACTCCACCTATGAGTCTTTTTCTTGCTCAGGGTACTGTGTTTATTGACCCTGGACACCTGAGGAGGTGCAGATATCTTTGTCTTAAAAATTGGGCCACGTGGGTGCATCAAACTATCAATGACTGAGGTTTGTACTTCCTCTTCTTTCCATGGTGGATATAGTTTTCTTTTTGTTGAATAGTTATCAATGGTCTTTGTAGATTGTGCTTGTCCTATAGGCAATGATTTTTGTAGCACAGAGTATGGTACATGGCTTTGCATTATTTCTGTTTCAACTTCCTCTGCTATGTCTAATTTAGACACATCTGAAGAAGTGATGGCAGGATAAGTTTCTCTCAGAAGCATGACTTTTTCCTTACTGCCTTCTTCCTTTTTACTTTGTTCTTCAAAATTCATTTTAAATCTCTCTATTTTGGGTACACATGAAAGGAGTGATTTCTTTATGTTCACATGTTTGACCTCGGGATTCATTATGCTTCTCTCAAATGTATTCTTTCCATCTTCTTTATATAACATGAATCTTGATCTTTTTGAATCACTTATATCATTCAAAGAAGATGCTGCATAATTTATTTTTTCTGCATCTGAAGATTCCACACTCTCTGAGTATGGAGAAAAGGATCTTGTTTCTACCCATGTTTCTTTCTTTACTTCTATTTCTGTGTCTAACTTGTAAGGTAAAGATGTCAAGGTCAAACTCTCACCCAGTTTGCATTTTCTTTCCTGAGTATGTCTCAACTTTTCATGTGTATTTGTCTGTTCATCTGTTGTGTTTGGGCCATAATGCCCAGTGCTACTGCATACATGTGAAAGTGGTAATTGATTTTTGTTGGAACTTGTGTCTTTGGGGTACATTAAATCTTTTGTATCCATGATTTTTTCTCTGCCCATCCATGTCTGCGACTCACACTGTTTCCCAGTTTTTACATTTGACTTTCCATCATCTTCAGTTGACTCTGTATGTTCAGTTTTTCTTGTTTCAAGCAACTTCTGATGCTGTTGTGAGTGCGCTAATTTTATGATTCCTTGCGTGTCTTCTTCTCCTTCTGTTCTGATGTCTAATTCATGTTCAGGAGCTTTCGCTTTGTTTTTCTCTTCTTGATTTGCTTTCCTTGACTCTATGCCGTTGTGAGTCACATTCTCTTGAGTGTCAGATTTATGATTCCATGTTTCTTGCTCTCCATCTTCTGGACATATTTTCTCTTGCCCTGGACCATTTCCATCTGCTTTCTTCTGCTCCTTCCCCTCCAGATCCTCTTTATCGTATTGATGGAATTTCTCTCGTTTCACATAATTTAGATCCATTTTCTCTCGGTTTTTGTCATCATTACTATAATTCTTTTGGTTTTTGTCCTTTCTAGCTATTGTTTGTTCTTCGTTTTGAGATTCTATTTTTCCTTGCTCTTTAGAATGTGATGGCAAGTCCTGGGAGAGGGTTTTATTTCCTTTCAAGTCCTTATCTTTTATATGCACTGTCACTTTCTCACTAAATATTTTTACTTCATGCTCTGTTTTCTGTAGCATATGGTCTTCTCCTTTCTGTGTGTTGCTGGTATGACCCTTGGCCCACTCTTCATTTGCTTCACTCAGGGTAGCTAATGATTTCTGGAGTGGTAGTTCTAGAAGAGAGTATAGGGTTACTTCAGTCATACCATCTCCTTTTTCTATCCTTTCTGATTTTAAACAAGATGATGTCCATGTGCTGGCATTAGTTACAACCACATTTAATTTCTCTTTAATGTTTTGTAGCTCTTGCACTGGCTCATTGATGTCTAACTGAATTTTCTGTGAAATCAATGATTTTTCTTTCAAATGTATGTTTTTTTCTGTTTTTGTCCTCTCCTCTCTTTCCTGAACTTCATGTTCCATGGAATGTTTTACATTGTTCAAGACAGGCTCAAAGGTGGACTTTTTATGAATTCTTTCCCCTATATCTGATGGTCTTTGGAGCTTTGAGTGATCACTAAAAGATTGGGTTCTTATTTGTATAGTTTCCTCTCCATTTATTTTTGTATCTGCTTCAGAGTAAGGAAGAGAACTTATAAAAGATTTGTTCCAATTTTTAATTTGTTTATCTTCCTGCATCTTTTTTGCTCTTTCTTCAACATTAAATTGTAACTCCTGTGATGCTGAAGAACATTTCTGTCTCAAAAAGAGTTTCCTGGAATGCATCACTTCATTGGAAGCTATCTGCAATCTGTCTTTCAATGGTCTACATTTTGCCTTTTCAAAACTGCTTAAAATACTATCAGTTGGCTCCTTGCACATTTCTATTGCACCTGAAGATTCTAACACTGCTGGCGATCTAAGGCAGAACTTTGTTATTCTTTGTAAGTATGCTTCCATTATTTTAGGATTGCATTCCAGATAAGGTGGAGAAGGAACTGATTCCCAAGGTTTATTTTGAACTACATTTAGAGTATTTTTGTTGCCTCGGATATTTTTTGGTATTTTATTGTTCCGCCATGGTTCCTTTTCATAGAACAAGCATTTAAAAGGTGGCTTTTTACCCTTTTGAGCAATATGTATGTAGCCTATTATATCTTTCAAATCTAGTATATTATTTCTATATTCTTTCTTCTGTGGAAGATACTTTAATTCCATTAAATTGTCTAAATTATCTCCATTAAATGCCTGTGAAGATGGTACTTTTCTGCTGTTCAGAGATAACAGGGGCTTTAATGGTGGAAGGCAGCTCTTTAGTAGTCTTGACTTATCTTTTCCTACTCTTATTCTTGAATTTAAATTAGTATGTGGTAGAGAGGGTAACAAAATAAAAGATTTTGTCTGTTTCATGTCTGATTTACTTAGCTCTTCTTGTACCCTGCCTTGATTTATAGTATTAAACAGTAAAGTTAATTTCTTTTCATGGGATGGATAAGACAATGATTCCTTTATCTTTAAGGTAATATTAGAGTCTATTATTCCCTTCATCTTCCCTTCTTTTATGCCATTCTTCTCTTCCTGTGATTTATGTTTTTCTTGTCTTACATTACTTGAGATAAGCACATCAATTTTCTCTTTTTCCAGTTTGAAGTGAGGTAAAGGGATGGGGTCACATGCTTTTATTACAACTGAACCTGACTTATCCTGTCTGTGTTTCACGTATATCATTTTTTCTTTTTTGTAACACTGTGGTTCTGCTTTATTGCTGGGGGTATAGTCAGTGGAACTACTGCATGGATGCTCTAATTTCTTCACGTTTAGGACTCTTCCTTTAGGCCATATTGTGTCTTTCATAACTCTGTTGCCCTTCTGTTTTTCATTTTCATACAAAAACTGCATGTATATTGAAAGACAGTGTAAGAACAGCTTAGGCAGATCTATCTCCTCTTGCTTCTTTTCACTTGCTTTATGCGGCAGGCTTTTTGTGCTGACTCTTAGCATGGATGAGCTATCATTTGACACTGACTTACTTACCTGTATTCCATCAGATGACTGTTTTCTTTTAGACAACAAAAGGCTTGGGCAGTTTGTAGTTTTACTGTCTGACTCCAAAGGCAACACTGTATCTCGTCGTTTTGTTTGCTCTTGAATAACTCCAGGGAAAATCCGCTTTGGTCTACATTCACACATAGTCCTTAGCTGATCTTTAGATGGTAAGTCTAGCCCCTTTGTCATGCCTGACACCTTGCCTACTTCTGACAATGGTTTCTTTGTCAGAGGCTCTAAATGTGCCTGGACATAAGAATAATTTTGGGAGCATGGTATAGGTTTCTTCAAATTCTTGAGGGAAAATGACGGGGATTGCTGGTTTTGTCCTTTTACCCTTTTGTCCTTTTGTCCTTGTATCCTTTTTTTCTCTTCTCTGTTTTCTGTATTTAAAGAGTGATAGTTCAGATTCTCTATTGCTTTTAACGGTTTCTTTACCTGTGGTGGTGTAATCCTGTGTATATCCATCCAGGAGTTGGTATTAGACATTGGGAAAGCCTTGCATGCACTTTCTTGCCAATCTGCTTCTCCAATGTTAAGTTCACTAGATGTTTTTTCTACTACTGTGTTAAAAGCATTTGAACTTAGAACTGCTTTTGCTGATATTTGTTTCTGTGTATTTTTGGCCTGAAGTTGATGTAATATACAAGATAAACAAACTTCCAGAATTTTTTCTTTGTTCTGAGTAAAAATGGTCAGTTGTTTTTCCTGCAGTTTTTTGGAAATGTCCACTTTCTGTCTGTTTAATTTTAATTGACTGTCAGCTGGCTCTGCTTCTTCTTTTCCCATGAGATCCATTTTGACACCTTTAGCACTGTAACCACTGCCTTTCTTTGCTGTAAGCAAGGCTGGTGTTGTGTGAAGAGGCGCCCTCTTGTGGCAATGTACAGAATTCAGAACGATTCTAGGCCTGTGATCTGACTTTGAAGAGTCTCTCTGAGGTATACCTGTTTTGTGTAAATCATCTAGATCTGTGCAAATAAATGCCTGTACTTTGGAACCTAGTTCTGTGTCAGTTTTCCTTAATCCTTCTCTTCCAGATAGATGGGAAATATTTTTTATGCTATGATACATTCCCACTTCCTTAGGTACCTTAGCATTTTCCAAGTCAAAGGACTCGCTAACTGGGCAGGTAACAGGCCCCAAGCCTATCCTGGAGGTGGTTTCTTGTTCAAGAAGTTCTTGTACCTTACATGTCTTTTTCTGGAAAGTATCCAGCTCCATGAGAAATCTGTCATGTCCTTTGGAACTTGAAATATTTGTCTTTTTGGGCTCTCCTCTTCTGGGTGGAGCTGAGAATGCATGTTTGATGGGGTCTTTCAAAACTCCTTGTTTTATTCTTTGTGTAGTGGAGAATTCAAATTCTGTACCAGCTCTGTGTCTTTGATCCTCGAGCCCACTGTAATCAGATTCTCCAGTGTCTGGAAACACGACACGGTATGCTTCTTTTTCTAAGTGGGCATGGATGTTGATATGTCTTAGCTCCTCCACCTGTTGGCCAGTCATTAACTGATCTTTATTTTGTGGGATAATATCTAGTAAAACCATTTGGTGTTCTTTTAGCTTTCTAATATATTGTGTTGATTTTCTGATAGTGCTTGATATTGAATTGTTATCAAGAGATTGCACAGATAACATTTTAGTTTTATTCATTTTCTTCAGCCTTTGTGGTTTGCCCTTTCCCTCTTTTATTTCTGTAAGTGTTTTTATTTGAGATGCGATGTAGTCAGAATAACAAAAATTCTTCCAAAGTAAGTCTGCCACAGTTTTCTCTTGAGGCAGCTCCTTCTCTGTATTGATGCTATGTCTTAGTTCCTTTCTGTAGCTATGGGTTCCATATCCTGTGATGTTAAGTAGCCTTCCAGAAGCTGTCCTCCTCACCTTCATTTTTACTCTTTTGTGATACATGACACTTTCCATGAAAGCTGTTGTTTTTTTGTTTTGTTGTATAACTTTAGAAGTAAACTCATCTGTATAAACATAGTCTAGGCTGATCCCTTGTACACACCACCTTTGCTGTCTCCACAATGTGGCCATACTCCTGTTTGGCTCTTCTCTTTGCCTGAACATACCATTGTTCTTTGTTGTGTTGATAAACTGTGCTCTCGTTTTTATGTCTTCTGTTATTTCAATTTTTTTACTCCCTCTACTTTTTTTCCTTCTCTTTTCCTGTTCTTTAATAAGTAAGAGTAGTTTTTCAATACTTTTTGGCATGTAATCCATTCCTGAAATATATTCTTCACTTGAGAGTTTTTTCAGCTGTTGGGTCGAATTCTTTAAGATTTTGTCACTTATTTTCATGTCTTCCTCTGGCTCTTCAGTATGAGGTTGATGTGGTACATGAGAGGAAATAGATCCCAGAAGAGGATCTGTGGAAAGGTTTTGTTGCTGTACCATAAGCTTGGGACTAAGCGACGACTCCTTTGACTCTAATGGCTTATCCGTTATGTTTAGTCCTCCTGTCTTCTCTAGACCTGATGGTGTAATGTCTTGCTTTCTTAGGAATTGGTTTGTCATTCTGTAATAATCACTGTAGATGTTTGTTCCTCCTCTAGCTCTTGAGGTATCTAGTGCAAGGTTATCAGTTTCATCTTTCTGTGAAGGTAACTCAGAGTTCATCTTTCTTTGTAAATCTTCTAGTTTGCAAGGGTGTTCTGACTTAACCCAAAATTGTTGCATAAATTGCTGGTGTATGTCCTTCAAAGTACAGTGATCATGTGCCTTTTTAATATGTTCTTCTAGGTTTCTAGATACATCAACACATCCTGACCATGATGCTTGCCTTTGGTTAGATGGTTTCTCCAGAACTGTCTGGGAAAGAATGTTTTTTCTTTCTTTCAGCTTGGCTTTCTCCAGTTTTACTCTGGTAAGCTTTTCAACTGGGGATATCAAGCACCCCAAGTCGAAATTAACTTTTAGCACCAAGTTTTGTCCATTTCTCCTCAGCTCTGATGAGTTCTGGTGCTGTATACTATGTCCCAGTTCTTTTTTATTGCTTCTGTCTCCATGTCCAAGTAGAGGAGCTGGTATTTTCTTTGCCTTCAGCTTTATTTGTTTGACACACATAGTACTTTTCACATTTGATATTTTTGCCTTATTTTTTTGTCTTACAGTTTCAGGGTCGGTAGTTTCACTGGCATAAGAACTCCATGTAGGTCCTGAGATAGTAGGCTTTGCCTGTTTCTTTGGCAGGGCAAAAGACTTGGACTTTGTTTTCCAATCTGTTTTAAATTCTTTGTTCTGCCTTCCAATTTGAAGAGTATGTACATCAGAAGAAAGAGCAACCTCTTTGCTAAGCTCTTCTCCAACTTGATCTATAAAATAAATAGCTGTTTTCTGAAGTGTGATATCCTTGTGGTGCACTGTGTTAGCTGAAAATGCTTCTGGTTTGAAAGGATCAGGTTGTTTCTTTTGATCTGCTCCAAATGGCTGAACACTCTGTGAAGCTATTGTAAACAAAATCGGCTGTTCAAACTCTCCTTTCCTCTTCATTTTTGCTTTGTCCTTTTGCAAAAGGTCATTTCCTTTTGTAGATTTCCCATACATGTCCCATATATTATGGGATGACTCTGTTTTTATATGTTGAATTGGCATACACGTATAGATGGATTTTATATCTGTATTTACCTCACAATTTTCTTTTATCTCTGGGGTTCTAAAGTCCTGTGCCACATTTGTTTTTAAAGCAGCATGGCTTCCATCACGAGCTAACTGTGAATCCATTGACCCCGGTATCTGTTTAGGTATACCTTTATAGGCTGACAGGTTAGATATGCTCATGCTACCAATCATGTTTTTAAATTCTTTGGAAGCAACTAAATGCTTGGCAATCAAAGTGGCAATTCCTGTCAAATAAAATAAAGACTTTTCTTTTAAACAAGACAAGCCAGTTTTCTTTTTACCATGTTTGGTAGTACGATGAGCTGGCTCACTGATTTTGTGTGATTTCTTCACGTTTGTGTGTGGATTTTCCAAGATGACTTGTATGTTGTTTTCTGTTTTTACATTAATTTCTGAATTAGCCTCATACATTTTACTTCTCTGGGGTAAATATTCTCTTAAATGTATTTCCTCTGACTCCCCAAGTTTGAGTTTCTTTATGAGTTTTGTATTTACTGATAACTTTTTTGTATAAAATGGAATAGACTCTATTAGCATTTCTTGCTTCTCTCCTCCACATTGCCCAACATGTAGTTTAGTTTCCTTTAAAAGTTTGGAACCACCTCTGTCAACAGAATCATCATACTCTGCTATGGCTTCAACTGGTGACTCCCCATGTGTTGGCTGTGTTTGGGTAAACTTTGATATTCTCAAACTTACCTCTGCTTCGAATTTACTTTTCCTGTTAGAGATAGTTGATATGATGTGAACAGTGCTTTGAGGTATATCAGTTATTTTTTCACTGAGCCATATGACTTTCATTTTTCTTCTTAATTTCAATTTCTTATGATTTGTGATAAAGTATCTATTTATTTTAATTATCGTTGACATTGGTGGTTTCTTTCTCTTCCTAGTTGAAAATCTCTGATTCAACATAATTTCACTTTCTGATAATTTAATTATGTTTACCTGTCTTTCAAAGTCAAACAAAACAGGTATAAAAAAATTATAAGGTCCCAAGAAAGTTGTGGCAAAGTTTGCTTGCAATTTTGCCTTTCCCTTTGCCATAGGTTTTTGTGGTATTCTGCTATAAAAATCAGCCTTTGCTGCTGTATCAAGTGAAAGTTCACCAGTTAGGAATTTGAGTGGACAACTCACAGCATCTTCAGCAGCGTGAAGCAGTGTCTCTCCCACGCATCCCATGTTTCTCGAATGGTGTTTACTATTATAGTGCCTTTTCTTCCTATGGAATCCCGTGTAACCCCTTGTAATATTAAGCAACCTTAAAACTTGTCTTGCCCTGGGACTCACATCTCTTTTACCTGGAAACTCTAATGTGCAGCTCTCACATTTGTATTCAGGTGACATAGAGCTGGGCTCCAATGCTGTTAAGCCTCTTTGAGTCCATGCTTTTTGTTCAGAAATAAGGTAGTCACATTTTATCCTGGGATTTCCATCCCAGGTGTTGTTATGTGGTATGGGGCCAACTTGAGATTCCTCTAGATTTAGAAGTGGAGACATTACGCCTACCATGCTGCTTTGTAGGTTATTCACATTGACCGGCTGTGCTTGCCCATCATATAGAAGTTTCTCTAATTCTGGCCATGTTGCTGAATTAACCAGTTGTAAATCAGATTGCACAGAATTAAGCCCTGCTGTATTCTGAGAACTGAAACTGAAGTGTTGGGAAGTCAGTGGGCCCTTCTCATCACCTTCACCTTTTACATCTTTGGTGTCATTTGATGTATTATCCTTTTCCGTGGAGTGTGTATGGCAAGTTCTCTCCTCGTGCACTGACTGGTCAGGAAGCTCACGACTAAATCTCACTGTCCACGTTATGTCTTCATCTTTTACCCCATTCCATGCGCTAACATTCAGAGACATGGGCATAGGAGAGAAGATGGCATTTAGCGATGAACCTGCCATGGGCTTACTTTGTTTTGGTGTTCCACATCCTGCAGGAATAAGTGTCTGGAAGACTGTTGTCTTACTTGCTTTAACAGTTACACAGTTAGTACTCATTTCATCTTTCTTGTCCATGAATTTAAAATTCTCTCTCTCTTTAGATATGGGTGTGGAGAAACCCAAAGACTCTAACATTGTTGCTGTCAATTCTTGGGTTAATAATCTTTTGTTTTTCTCTGCTGTTGGGTCTTTCAATATGATTATATTAAGAATATCAGGTAAGACATCAGAATGTGTTAATAATCCAGAAATCTGTGATTTCAAGGTTTTGGGGAGTAGATTTTTTCTTTGACTACACTGTGGAATAGTTAATACCTTTGAAACAGATGTTTTTCTTCCTTTCATAGTTACACCAGTTGAACACATTTTACCTTGTAAGGCTTTGCATGTAGACACCTTGCTTTGCCTTTTAGATTTTGGTACATCAGAAGTTGTGAGATTCAAAATCTCTGGGATGGTTGCTTGTAGATAATTTTTAAGCCCTTTTCTTTCCACTCTATCCCAACTATTCAGTTCCTGTGCATGAGTTCCATCGGCTGGTCTTTCATATTTTGTTCTATCAGTATTAATTTTATTAATTTGTGAGTCTCCTGGTTTTAGGGGAGGGAGCTTTGAATTTGATATGTACATGTCATATTCTCTTCGAGTTATATCTGCCCACCGATTCTTCTTTGTGATACTTCGTTCTACAATGGACAGGATGTTCCTCCCTCTTTGTTTTCCTAATTTATGAGATTTAGGTCCCCTACTTTGATATGAACAATATGCAAAATGTTGGCTATCTTGTGGGAGTGATTTTAATAATGTGTTGTCATTCTTTTTCTCTTCTTCCTTATTTTGAATATCAATTTCTTTGATGTCATCTGTAGTAATCGTCTCTTCATGATGCAATGTCTCTGCCTTCATTTGTATAGAATGGAGTGTTTTTTCCCTTAGTGTGCCTTTTCCTATTTCTATCTTGCTGCTTATATTAATATCCAGTGCTACATTTGATGAAGAGGAAGGTTCATCTGCAATTTTTTTTTCCTGATTCATGCCTTGCATTTCGGTTGAGTCACATTTCATTTCCCCACGATAGTCTGGATTAGTGTATGAGACTGATAGTTCCTTTGCTTCCTTTTCACTGTTACCAGCCTGTTCCTTGTGTAGTCTCTCATTAGATAGATCACATTGTTTTTCAGATAATGCCTTGTCCTTGGCGTTCCCAACCTTCAGAGGGAACATGCTGAAACAGCCCTGTAGCTTTTCTAATTGAAGTTCCTCTGGGATGGGGCATGTTGTAGAATACAAAATTGCTTCTGTGGGTGTTTGTGGTTGCACCTGAGTGGTTGCTCTCCCTCGTGGGTCCAGTTGTTTGTATGAACTAACAAGGTCATGGTCTTTTTCTTGATACATATCAAATATAAGGCCTGGGCTATTTTCTGAGACCAGGAAGTCTTCTAGTTTCTCTTTTTTCTCCTCTTTATAGTTTTTCAAGCTAGAGGAACTACTTGCATCAGCAGAATCTGGACACTGTGCACTTCTTTCATTTGGTGACTTCTCTTGCGTTAGTTGCATATGACCAAATCTTATTCTCTGTTCACCTGTCCATGTTTTTGAATTTCTAATGTTTTTATTGGGCAAAATATGTACGTTGGAATGAATGACATCTAAACAGGCAACTTCTATGTTACACTTTTGCTGTGGACCTTTCATTTCTTTGTTTTGTTTTAGTTTTTTGCTGTACCTGAGGTTAACTGTCCATGATGGTTTTATTTCCCCCATAGCTCTACGTCTCTGATTCACTGGTATCTTCTTCTTTGATCTTGGTGCTTTTCTCATCCTTTTAGGTCTAGAAACAAAGGATCTTGTAAAAGAATCAGAAGACTGCAGATTTATTGATGTCTCTGAATCTTTTTCTACAGGATATGAATCTAGTTCACTTTCAGAATTTTTGTCAAATTCTAAATCATCATCTGTCATGTTTGTAAATTCACTAGGTGAAGAGTTCCCTGCTTTGGGAGATAAAATTTTAGGAACTACAGGGAATTTTATGTCATTTTCTGTTTTGGTAGTTTTTTGTAATCCTTCAGATTCTGTGGGATCTATTTGTAAAGTGGCCTCCAAAGTACTTTGCAGGAAATCTTTTTGGCACTTTACACTCTGAGTTTTAACAAGTTGTTCTTGACTTAAAGAGATAAGAGATGGGTCTGGATCATTGAAGAGAGTATCCTTGCTTTGATCTGCACCAGCCCACAGGTGTTGGCCATGGCAAAGTGCTGCTTGTTTCTCTTCTTGAAGGTTTTTCTCTCTATCATGTATTGCACTACTCTCAGCAATGCCAAAAACACATGTTTTGTTTGCTAATTCTCGTTGCTTTAGTTGAGCGTAACAGAATCCTCCTTGCAATCTGCTATGGATGGATAAACAAACAGTGTTTTGACATTCAGGTAAAAGTGCTTTAGCTTGGTTTATCTTTTTAAATTTGGTCTTGTGGTCCAATTTTGACTTTTTATTGCTTGTGATATTGAATGTTTTTGAAGCTGGTGGTTTTATCTTATTCATAAACTTGAACTTTGCTGCACTTGTATTTGTGAATTTTGTTCGGTCTTTCTTTTTTTTAGAGTGCGTCAAAACAGGCATGTAGTAATTTAAAGACCACAAGAAAACTTTTTGGGTAAAACTACAACTAATTTCTCTTGTATCATTCCCACTATTTAGAATATTACTTTCTCTTGATTGGCTCAGAGAGTCTCCCATTGCTAATTTTTCTGATGTTGGAGGAACCAACTCTAATTCTTCAGAAAATTTGAGCTCTGTTTGTGTAGATGTGCTGTTCTTCCTGTTTGCAACAGAAAATGAATCCATTCTCAGTGAGTCAATTGTCTTAATTGCTTCTTTGAAAGATACTGCTTGAAACACTTGTTTCTCTGTTTCACTCTCTTCCAGCGGAAGTGCATCACATCCGAAGCTCCTCTTCCGCTGAGCCGCCACCTCTGGTTGCGCTTGCTTCAGTACTTTCATACCACAGCACAGCTGAACTTCTAGAGTATCTACAGCTTTGCTTTCTTTAGTAAGGACATCTAAACTATTTCCTTTCTTTTCAACTTGAGGTTTTGGGGGTATTATTTTTATATTTGCTTTTTTATTAGGAATGAGATACCTGTGAGGGTGAACATTCAGAAGCCCATGTGCCAGTATTGCATTATGCAGCATTTGTTTAATGATGCTTTCAAAGCTGTCTCCTATTTTTCTCTTGTGGTTCAGAGTGTCATATGGAGTGATACAAAACCTCAGGAAAAATGCAGGTTTCTTCACTTTTGTGATTCTGTGCCTGACACTGAGTACATTTTTTGTTCCTGATGATTTTTTTCTGGTTTTGAAAGGTCTTATGGCAACTGCACATAAGTCCTTTTTCAAATCTTCTTTGTCTTCTGGAATGTGACCATCCAATGTCTCTGTGGGATATCCACTAAACGGGACCCTACATTCTGTTGTTTTAATTAAATATTCACCAATAGGCAAGTTTTCTGGCACTAAAGATGGGCGCATAGGATCTGCACTCCATTCTTTGTCGGTAGGTTTGACTGTCCTTTGCTTTATTTTCTCAACTTGTAGTGGATCAGTTGAAGGACTTGAGCTGGTCTTCCATACTGTCTGTGTAGAACTAGTTCGTGGCTGCTCTTCTTTCTCTTCACTTTGAATTGTTCTATTTTCTGATTGGATCTGTTCCATTTTAAATTGGACACATTTGTCCTTTTGTTTCAGACATATAATGACTCTAAAGTCTGCCAGTGATGGAACTGTTTCTCTTTCTTTTCTTTCTCTGTCACACTTTTCTGGCTTTCTACATATAGAGCCCTTATCAGGATGCTCTACTTCCTGTATTTTCTTTTTATCCAGGAGTTTCTCTTGCTTGAGTGCAGAGTGACTACAATTTATTGTTGGTGTGTCTGCCTTGGCTTTTAATCTGCTACATAGTTCCATATCAAAGGGTTCAGAAATGGTAGCCTCCGTGGCATTCTCAGAGGTTTCTGACATCCTTTCATCTTGATGTCTGTTCTTTTTATTGGTTCTTGTGTTGCATTCCAGCTTTTCACTGTCACTTGGTTTACCGTATTCTGTAATACTAGTCATCAATGGTTCTTCTTCCTTCAAATTTATGCTTCCTGTAATTATTTGAAAAGTTATGTCTTTTAACTCATTTTTTTCTTGCTGCTGGGATCCTAGGGCAATAAGTGAATTGATACCTGAAAAGTTCAGAATGATTTCCATTGAATTTTTGGCTTGCTGTATTTTGTCTTTTGGAAAGCACCTTTGTGTGTTTGGTATACTGACTGTTAACTCATCTACATTCTCTGTAGTTTGTCCGTTCTTTTGCACTTTCATTCTTCTGTTTAATTCTGTATTGGGAAACAACACATCTTTCTGTGAAGACTCTGATAGCATTTCTAAATGCCCCTCATGCTTTGGAATGTTCAAGTCAAATGCCTGCTGAACTGAGTCCTCACTAGACTCCTTCTTCTCTCCATTTGTTTCAAATAATGAACAAGGAGCTGCCAGTTCATCGGTGTTGGCTGCGAATGAGTGTTCTAAGTTTTCAATAACACCCATGCTTCCTCTATCAGTAGAACTTGTAAAACTGATTTTCTCTGTGTCTGGTGACCCATTTTGCTCCTGTAGAAAATGTTCATGTTTCATTACGTCTGGAATGACCATCACTAGATTTTTCAAGAAATACTTTTTAACATGGTAAGTAATAAGCTTAGAGATGGAAATAAGATGCAAAGCTATAACTGCCATTATTTTCCTTTGGTATACTATTTTCTTCTTCTTGGGTCTTAATTCAATCTTCTTTTCTAAAGTGTGACATACTATGTTTGGAAATACCTGTGAACAAGACATTTTCTTTGCTTTCGAAGATGGAACTTTAAGATTTAGTTTTCTTTCATTGTCTGGTATCTTTTTCTTATTTCTTTGCCTTTTAATGGTAGGTTTAAGAGACATTGAATTGCATGCATCATACTGGTTGGAATCTAATGAAGGTATTGGTTGATGGCTTTCTGGCATTCCCTTTTGTTGTGGAACAGCTTCAGCAGATGACTTTGGACTTAAAGATAGAAATTCAGCATTCTGGAAAACACTATTTTGCCCTTTGACTAAATAGTTAATCTCTTTTGGGTCACTAAAATAAACAGAATATTGGGTCTCACTGAAACTTTCATCAGACTCTATGCCCCGGGTTGAGTCTTGTGTTCCTACAATACACGGAATATGAATGAAATGTTGGCTTTTTTCTTTACGATCTCTATCTTGGGCCTGGAAGAGGTCTTGTGTGCTGCTAGAAAATGGCATTTTTATAAAATCTGGAGGCTGAGCAAACCCAGGCTGGCTGCTGAATGACTCTTGGTTGTGAATAAATTGTTGGATTTGGCTAGTAAACTGTGCTTCATGAATCATTTGATTCTGTATGACATTTTGGTTCAGGAAAGTATCTTGTTCTTCCACAGGAATAACCACCTCATTAGAATATTGATTATGAATCGATGGCTCCTGAGATGTATGGTGCAAATAATCAACTTCCCTCACCAATGTAGCCGTGGGGTTCACAGGGATTCTTCTTCTTATGTTTTCTTCCACATGTCTAATTTGATTGCTAGAAAGAAATAAATGGACAGGAGGGCATGGTGCCACATTGAGATCCTTGTCTCTTGTAGTTTTAAAAGGGTTTTGAAACCTAAGATCATCAGGAAATGTGCTTTTTGTACTGTTTGTTTTCATTATTGAAAATAAATTATTAGAGGAAATTTGTATTGCTTGATATTCTCTTTGTGGTTCTTTCCTGTGGCTTACAAAAATTTTCTTTACTTCTGAGTGAAACATTGACAAAGATGCACTGGTCCCACCTGAAGATGAGTAACTTTCATAAAAATGGCTTCCTTGAAATTCACAGTCATCGGATGAAAAAACTCTATCACTAGTGTTATCTCCATTCTCCTCAGATGGATGAGTGGTTGTTACTTGTCCTGAAAGGGTTTCAACTCTGGAGATAAGAAAACAGTGCATGTGAGTTGAAACTTAAAATAAGCATTTTATAGGGTCTTACTCTAGACTTAGGGAAAATCTATCATAGATGAAGACAAGACTGTTTATAAGCATGAAGATAAAGGTGAAGCTACCATCCACATTGTCAAGAAACTCATCACTTCATCATTTCCTTAAGCAGACCAATCAGTTATTAATATGAAGAAAAACATTTATTTAAGAGTAAGAGAATTTCTTCCTCAATCGTTCTAAAAGTGTTTTTAATAGCAATGAGCCAAAGGATGAAGACTATATATTTTTATAAAGAATGTTTCTATTCTTTACATAAAAATTTTTATAAGTAACAGTCTTATGGAATTTAGAAGGTACAACAGTAGAATATCCCATAATATCAAGTGTAGTTTTCTACAGATAGTTAATCTCACCAGCTATTTGTGAGGAAGAGAAAAATGACATTTGGGAGAAATACCTCTCAGTGGATTTCTGAGTCAGAGTAATGATTTGTAGTAACGAGCAGCAAAGAAGTTGCAGTTTTCTCCTACTATGGACACTATTCTGTCTAACAAGTACTCACACCTGCAACATTAGCATTACCTTTGTATGGTGGTTAATTTATATGACATCTTATCTGAGATGTGGAGCCCAGATACATGATACAATATTACAATGGATATTTCTGTGAGGGTATTTTAGGGATGAGATTAAGATTTGAACTAGTAAATTATAAAGGAGACTGTTTGTTCTAATGCGAGAGGAGTCATCCAAACAGCCTTAGGCATAAACAGAGCAAAAGAGTGACTTCTCTATAGCAAGAAGAAATTTTGCCAAGGTAATACTGAGACTTACACTACAGATTTTAGCCTTGTCATTAAGCATAACTGCATAGACCAATGTCCTAAAGCAAATTGTCTGTCTAACACCAGGGCAAACCACAAAGCAAGACCTTAGCAAGGTATGGTAGCCTATACCTCAGTAGGTTGAGACAGGAGATTACTGAGTTCAAGCCTAGTCTGGGCTACATAGCAAGACCCTGTCTCAAACAAGCAAACATAATTGATGGGCTAATTAGCTAAAACTCTACCTTTGTAAACCACAAATGGTGGGTTTTCACTCCAGTATGTGCTCACTGGAGAATGTCCTCATAAGCCTTCCCCTCCCAAACCACTACCCTACCACCCTTCTCAGCTTCAGCGCTTTCCTTCTCAGGGGTCCATTCCCAGCTTGAATCTGTAGATATTCCCAAATTCTGAATACGCTCTGCATTTTCTTCTTGTTCACAATATTGTTTAATTATTAAATTGTGAACTATTTTTTTGCAGTGCTAGGTATTAAACCCAAGGTCTAGAACATACAAGGCAAGCACTCGAGTACTGAGTGGCCCGAAGTTTGATTTATGTTAGGCAAAGATTTAAAAACAACAAATAATAGAATAATATAACACTCCATAATGAAAGTTATGTAACATTTCTCTGTCTCAAAAGGTCCTATCTTATTTTCACTTTTCACATAGAGCACTTTGCAGCTTCTCTTTTGATGTCTGAACTGCCAGCAACAATACTAGCAATGCTTTGGAGCCACGGTTAAGTAAGGATTATGTGAATATAAGTACAGCGATATGGAATAGTCAATCTGAAACAAAGGTGGTTACTAAGTTATGTAGGATAATGCAGCATAGATATGCTGAAAAAAGAGACAGAGAAGAATGGCATCCACCTTAGTTGTTACTGTTCTATTGCTGTAAGGGAGATCCCATGACTGAGGCAACTTAAGAGAGGGCATTGAATTGGGGGCTTGCTTAGGTTTCAGAGGCTTAGCCCATGATCATCACGGTTAGGGACATAGCAGCAGGCAGGCAGGCCCGCAGGCAACAGCAGTCGCTGAGAGCTTTTTTTATATCTGACCCACAGGTTCTTGGCAGAGAGACAGATGGTGACTAGGGCTAGTGTGGGCTTTTTAAACCTCAAAGACCATCCCCAGTAACATATCTCTTCCAAAAAGGACACCTCCTGATCCTTCCTGACATTCTATGAACCTGGAACCAAACATTCAAATCTCTGAGCCTATGGAGGGCCATTCTTATTCAAGCCACCGTAGCATATTTCGTCATGTTCCTCAGAATGGCATGTGATTTAAAAGTCATAGATTGTTTATTTCTAGAATTTAGAAAATTTAGAAAATTGAGTATTTCCAACTATACTCGGTCTCAAGTACCTGAAACCATGGGAATTGAAACTTTAGATTGAAGGTGGCTGCTGCATTTTTCCTTAGAGTCCTAAGGCTTAGCTTCTGCCTAAGCATGAAGGAGTGAATAATGCATGGCACACAGAGGGGGCAGCTGAAAATCCCTGTCCTCATTTTTTAAGCTTTCCTCTTTTCTGTCAATACTCTGGTGAGCTTTGGAGACAGTGCACACTTTACACTGCAAACTTAGTGTCTCAGACAGTCCTAGGGACGTCTGATGGCACTATGGAATTTCCCCAACATGCAATGGCAATCTTGCTGCCAGCCACTCTTGACAGGAACCTGTAACCTTCACACAATGTTTCTGCTTCTTGAGGATTAAAGTTCCTAGGACCTAATGGAATAACAAAGCAACTAGACTTTAAAATTTAGTAGATTTGAAATATGAAAGACATTTCTTTCTGATTGGCTATCAGTCTCCAGGTTCATTCTGTACAAAGAACTGAGTGATCTCATGGAAAAACAGAACAGCCCTCATAGCAGAGCATGGTGGCACACACCTTAAATCCCAGCACCCAAGAAGCACAGGCACCACCAAACAAGCAAACTAACAAACAATACATAAACATAATTTTGAAAACTGAAACCCCAAGCTGGGTGTGGTGGTGAATGCCTGTGATCTTAATACTCAGGGAGGCAGAGGCAGGTGGATGTCTATGAGTTAAGGCCGGCTTGTTCTATAAAGCAAGTCCAGGACAGCCAAGGCTACACGGAGAAACCCTGCCTCAAAAAAAAAAAAAAAAAAAAAAAAAGTATAACCCAGTTCTAATGTTCCTTTCATGAAATTATTCTCAAAGTCCTACTTTGGTTTAGACATCTTCTAAATGTTTGTATACGGGGCAGCAACTAGTGTGCATAGCTACATGTCTTTTTGAGATCAGAAGTGTTTGTATCTTAAGTGTTTGTACCCTAGCACCAAGTTGTATTCATTGCATAGATGTTTAATAATCATGGGACGATTATTGTGTTTAAGCCACAGCAATGACATACTTGTGAGCTGACAGATTCTGAATTAAATTCTGAGGCACTTGTAGAGAGTTGATAGAGTCCCACTTACATTTTGAACTTCAAAGAGCCTGTCAGTTTTACAGCACCTAGTTCACTGTGGGTTCCATCCACAGTGGATGATTTTTTTCCAACTAAATTAAAAGAAATGGTGGTTATGATTTCTATGTGAATAGCAAAAGCATTTTTATCTTAAGAACCTGAGGCAGGGGCTGTAGAGATGCCTCAGTGGTTAAGAGTACTGGCTGTTCTTCCAAAGGATCCGGGTTCAATTCCCAGCACTCACATGGCAGCTCACAGCTGTCTGTAATGCCAATTCTAAGGAATCTGAAACCTTCACACTATTGCAAACAAAATAAAATTAAATAAATTAAAAAAAAAAGAATCTGAGTCATTTAACCTCTGTAAGCTTTATCTACTTTAAAGGACAATTTTACCAATATATGAAAAGCCCTCAACACAGCTTGGGACAAGGCAACTACTTAAAAACAATATTAGAATGAATTGTAGTTTAGAGTACTTTTGGGAAGATCCTTCTCTTGGACTTAGAAATAAAAAAAGTCTGAACTGAATATAAAGAAGTTAACGTTGTTTCTTCCCACTTACCTTTCTGCTGAAGATGAGTGGGTAATTGACCAGCTTTCTGTAGCTACGTGGGAACAAAAAGTTACAGTATCAGGGGAAGACAATCAGGTCACATAAGTTTAATATTAAAAGATGAAACTGTAGACTGGGCTGTGTTTGCTCATGCCTTTAATCCCAGTACTTGTGAGGGAGGCAGAGGCTTCTGAGTTTGAGGCCAGCCTGGTTTACAGAGGGAGTTTCAAGATAGTCAAGGCAATATCGAGAAACCTTGTCTTGAAAAACAAAACAAAGAGATAAAATTGTGTGATATTTACCAAATGTCATGCCTTTTGGGAAACCATCTTCATTCTGCTTAAAGGGAGAAGGTAAACATGTTAGAGAAATAACACAACTATCAAAGTTTAGTGTTTTTTAAAGTAAATTACTCTTACGTGTTTTTGAAAAATAGTAGAGAGTGGTCAATCATTTCTTACCTTCTGAGAACCCAAACTACCATTTTCCCATAGCTCAAGCTTCTTCTTAAAGAATTCACAAGTTCTTACAAGGATTATCTCAAAAGCAACTCCTAGGAAAACTATAAATAGGATTGGTATCCAAGCATTGTTAAAAATCCAGTAGTCTAGAAAGTCCCATAATTTGCAAAATGTGTTCTCATCTAATACAGACTCCAATCTGTTTTTAAAGAAATGATACGATTTTGTCATAATGGGTTGGTGGTATTTCACCCAGAAGGCAATAACTTCAGAAGCCCCTCAAATACAAAAAGCTTTTCTGTCCATCTATCTCATAAGCACATGCAAAGCTCTGCCATTAAAAAAACCACTCATACAGTGCCTGTGTCCAGTGGAGTAGTGCTTGCTCCAGGCCTGAGTAAAGTAAGGTACGTGTCACAGTGGCTGTCTAACTGAGCTCACAGCAGCTCCTGCAGTAACAAAAGGCCACAGGTGAAACATGTACAGTCCATGTGTGGTACTAGTGTCGGAAGTATGTAGGTCATTTTTAAAAAATTTATTTGGCGAGGCCTTGTACTATATTGCCTGGAGCCCCTATGTGATCCAGGCTGCCTTTGATCTAGAGATCCTCCAGCTTCAGCACGTGTACGCTCCACCTCTGTTGGCATCATTATATAGTTTTTTGTTTGTTTGTTTTTCTTGAGGCTGAGTCTTCTACTATAACACATGAGAGCCTGGAACTCATGGAAATTCTTTACCATTGATGATGTAATTAATACTTCTTGGGCTTCATTTATTCAAAGTGAGTTGAGGATAGAGGTTATTTATTCTGCTGGAGTAAACTGCTCAGGCCTCCAAATTTATTTAGTAATTTGCATCAAAATTACTGAGCTCTTACTTTCTCCAGTACTGGGGCTCATGAGAGAAACAGCACATTCTAAACAGAATTGATAGTCTCTTGTCCAGAGTAGACTAAAGATGCTTGTGTTTACCTTGGGTTCATTCTGATCTTGGATTTTGACTTTGCAAAGACAGTTCTTCAGAGTGTGTGGCAAGGATTCCATAGCTCTAAGAAACCTTTGTCATCACTCTGTTCTTTAAGTATAATGTTACTTCTGTCCTGCCACACATGCACAGTGGCAGTGATTTTTTTTTTTAGAAGACTCATTTTTTTCCCTAGATTTTTAAGTCTTTTAGCTTTTTTTGGGTGGTGATGGATTTTCTGATAAAACTTAAAGCAGCTGAGTGTGTATCTTGATTTTTCTTACATGATGGCACATTTTTATCAAGTTCTTTTCATGTTAAGTAACTAAAATGGGATTCATTTTAGTATTGTTCTCTGTACTTCATGTTCCCAAGCTTTAAAGCCCTGGATCCCTAGCTAGCTCTCTTATTGATGAGCTCCTATAAACACCAAACAGTCTTGGGACAGCTTCTGGAGCTTTGTGGTTCGCTCCTTATGTAAATGCCTACTGGGAAGAGACTAATTTGTCACATAAATGCTTTCTTGCATTGGAAACCTCTTCTTAGATCAGTCATACTGAGCAGCACAAAAATACATATATTCTTAATAATCATAAAGGCAGATGTGAAAATGAGACCATCAGACAGACAGCCCATTACCAACAGTATTTAATGACACAAGAAGATACTCAGAGATCCTATTTAAAGTTTTAAAACCTTGTCTAATGATTTCATATTCTTTGAGCTTTTTGGACAATGCAAGACAAGACTTTCATTTTAACAAGAACTCTCAATAATAAATGTATAAAATAAGCCAGGGGGTGCTTGTAATTATAAGTAATAATCAAATAGTTCAACACAACAAATATTGATCCAGTATACTGTAAGTCACTGCAACTAAGAAGTACTTTAAAAAAAAATGAATGAAAATCATCCCTTGGCAGGAGTTTGTAATGAATATAGGATGGATTCATGGTGTGACTAACAAAGGAAGAACATGTCATCAGTGTTAACAAAAAATGCTCCGGAAATAAAGGAAACGTGCAAAGAGTGGGGGAAACTATTTTACAGCCAGAAGGACGAATAGAATTTGAAAACAGATAAAGATCAACCTAGTAAAAAATCACCAGATAAGACAAAAAGGTTTTCCTTTTCACAAAACTGTAATTCAAGTTGGCTGCAGTAGGGTTACAGGTTTAGAATTAGAAGGGGCAGGACCAGAGGGTTGATATGGTCCTTTCATGGGGCCACCTTTGGAGGCTCATGCTTTTTAAAAAAATTATTAATTACAACTTACTCATTTTGTATCCCAGCGGTAGCCCCCTCCCTCATTCTCCTCCTATGCTCCTCCCTCGGTCCACTGAGAGGGTTGTCCCTCCTCCCCTTCCATCTGATCCTAGTCTATCAGGTCTCAGCAGGACTGGCTGCATTGTCTTCCTCTGTGGCCTGGTAAGGCTGCTCCCCACTCAGGGGCAGGTGATCAGAGAGCCAGCCACTGAGTTCATGCTAGAGACAGCCCCTGCTCCCATTACTAGGGAACCCACTTGGACAGTGAGCTGTCAATGGCTACATCTGGACAGGGGTTCTAGGTTATCTCATGCATGATCCTTGGTTGTCCTAAGTCTCAGAAAACACCACTGTGCCCAGATTTTTTGGTTGTGTTGTTCTCCTTGTGGCGCTCCTGTCCTCTCCAGGTCTTTCATTTCCCCCTTCTTTCATAGGATTCCCTGCACTCTGCCCATAGTTTGGCTATGAGTCTCAGCATCTGCTTTGATACCCTGCTGGGTAGTCTTTCAGAGGCCCTCTGTGGTAGGCTCCTGTCCTGTTTTCTCCCTCTTCCAATGTCTATCCTGTTTGCCTTTCTGAATGAGGATTGATCATCTTAGGTTCCTCCTTCTTGTTTAGCTTCTTTAGGTGTACAGATTTTAGTATGATCATCCTTTATGTCCAATATCCACTTATAAGTGAGTATATACCATGTGTGTCTTTCTGCTTCTGGGGTACCTCACTCAGGATGATCTTTCCTAGTTTCCACCATTTGCCTGCAAATTTCCTTGTTTTTAATTTAGTATTCCATTGCCTAAATGTGTGGTTTTGTTGGAGGAAGTATGTCACTGTGGAGGGAGTCTTTGAGGTCTAATATGCTCAAGTTATGCCCAGGGTGGCACACAGTCTCTTCCTGCCAATCCAGATGTAGAACTCTCAGCTCCTTCTCCAGCACCATGTCTGCCTTACATACTGACATGCTTCTCACCATGGCAATAATGGACTAAACCTCCAAAACTGTAAGCCAACCCCAATTAAATGTTTTCCTTTGTAAGAGTTGCTGTGGTCATGCTGTCTCTTCATAGCAATAAAACCCTAAGACAGTGTCATTTACTAGTAGAAGCAGCAGGATGGCTCTTTAACAGTATTCAAACTAAAAGGGCTTTGTATTTTCCTACTAAATGCAGCAATAAGGAGAGAAGCATACATTTCAGCCTCAGACCTATGGCTCATTGCTGAGTTACACATTCTTACCAAACATAATTAGGTGCACGGTTTTCAAATGGCATATTATCACATAAAACACCACAGTAATTTCTCACACAGCACTGAGGGATGTTAATATTTGAATGGCTACTATTCCTGTTTAAAGTAGTATCTTTGATTACTGTCTTAGGGTTATTACTACTGTGATGAAACACTATAACCAAAAGGAAGTTGGGGAGGAAAGGGTTTCAGTTCACACTTCAGGTACACTTCTCCCATCACAGAGGGAAGACATGGCAGGAACCTGGAGGTAGGAACTGAGAGGCCACAGAACAGTGCTGCTTACTGGTGTGATTCCCATGGCTTGCTCATCCTGCTTTCTTATACAACCTAGGATCACCAGACCAGAGATGGTACCAGCCACAATCGATTGGGCCCTCCCAGATAAATCACTAAGAAAATGCCTTACGGCTAGATCTTATGAAGACATTTTCTCAATTGTTTCCCTCCTTTCAGATAACTCTAGCTAGTATCAAGTTGACCTAAAACTAGCCAGTTCAGTTGCCTATGATTTACCTTAATTTGTTAAGTTTGAAATTTTTTATGGCTTCACTACTTATCTTTTAAACCTATTTTATCATTATACTTCTATATTCTGGTCGTTTTCAAGTTTCCTTTATTTCCCTTTTACTTTTTTTTTTTTTTTTTTTTTTTTTTGGTGTAGATTGAATCCAGGACCTCATTCATGCTAGGCGAGAGTTCTACTGCTGAGCTACATTTGTCCATTTGTCCACGGACATATAGTTATTGGAGCAATGGTATTTCTGATAGCTTGGGGCACTTTTCCTCTCTCTCTCTCTGGCTTACAATGTTTTGACACCCACAGTATTTAAAAATGTTCAATATTCATTCTCTTTACACATTTAAAAATTATGTCTTGTTCAGAAAATGAGTCAACCAAAAAGTATTATATACAGTGATAAAGAAATTTGAAATTATAGCTATACATATTTTACAATAATATAAATGACTAGAAGTTACCTAGGTTTTTACTCATACAATATCTAAGGTGGAAAAAAGTAGTTATCTAAAACTGATCTACCCTAGCAGGGTAGGAGAAATGAGGGTTCTCAAAGATGCCTGGACAACTTGAAGCTTAGTGCCTAGAGCAGTAGGTTAACTACTGATAGAATTTAGGACAGAACCACCCATTTAAAAATTTCTTTACAAATTTAGTCTCATTTTGTGTACTTTCTAAAAACCCCTAATTCTGCCTGCACATATTAGTTCAACTATTTAGCTATTTTTAACTTTCTATTTGAATGAATCATCTATTGTCTTCATACACTATGATGGAAACTCTCAAGCAGTTACTCATTTTTGCAAACCTACTGGTTTTTTTTTTTTTTTTTACCTAACAGACCTTAAGTTCATATTTTATGAAGGAAAACTGCTACTGCACATTTTAAATACAACCAAGGTTGTTTGAAAGCACCTCCATGATCTTTCCACCTGCTTCTTTTAACAGTGTTGAGCCCAAGGTTTCAAGCCGGCAAGTCTGAACAATCAACACAACACCATCCCTTTTACTTTGTATATGTGTGTGCACATGAGTATAAACGTGGAGTCCAGAGGTCAATACATTTGTGCTCCACCTGATTTTAAAGCACAATGATTTGGCTAGACTGGCTGGCCAGCAAGTGCCAGTACTAGGTTTACAGGGGCATACTGCTGTACCCACTTCTTTCCATTGGAACCGGGGATTGAATTCAGGGATTGGCAAGATGCTAAGGTTACTTGCCACCAAGCTTGTAATTAAAGAACCAACTGTCCCAAGTTGTCTTTTGATTTGCGCATAACCCGAACCCAAGATAAATAATAGAAACTTAATAAAATTTAAGTTATTTATGCTTGCATAACAAACCCTTTATAACTGAGCCATCTTCCCAGCACTTCCTTTTCTTTTTCAAAGGTGATAATGCCTCTCAAAATTAAGCATTTCACAGTTAAGACAAAAGCACCATTGTAACAAAATGCAAATGTTTAATTTTTCAAAACTTAACTAATGAAAATAAATTATAGACAACCTTCAATATTTGTACATTATCTTCATATAACTATAACAGTGCTTTCAAAAGACATCTTGTAAAGTATATTTTCACAATACAATGTTTCAAAAATAGGGCAACATTAAAGAACATTAGTCTGAAATATATCTCACAATGCTGAGAGGTATACTTTAACAAATTAACCGTACTTTTATTCAAAATAATCTGGCTTTTACTGACAATTATTTCTTGTCCATTTCAGTGATTTCTTGGATCCAAAACAAGATCTGTGTATTTATTTCTTTGAAAACATCATTTGTTGATCGCCCTTTCACTGCCATGGAATGATTTGCCTTCTCAATCCAATGGATTTTACTGGGAGCTTGCATTTTCTGTGCTACTTTCTCCAGCAAGTTCTAAAGAGGAAAGCGAAGAGGATATTAGACTCTATTGACATTTAGTAAAGGATTATCCTTCCCTCATCTATACTGGACTGATTCAAGAGTTTCCATTAAATACCTGCTTTACAGACAACTTTATAGACAATGAAGTTTATAAGGAAACATCTACAGCAGAGGCAGTCCACTTTTCTCAAGCAATCACATCACAGAATACACCAAGCATTTGCTGACAAGAAAAAGTTAAGCAGATTACTCAAACTGTTTTTCCAAAACTCTTTTTCCCCTCTAAAAATTGTGTGCTCTGGGAAATAGGCTAATATTCAGTAAGATATGAATGCCGCCAAAGCGCACTTTGGGGTTAATAATAACAATCTACCTAAAAGTTAAGGCAATAAACCAATGTATACTCGACTATCTCCCAAATCATAACAATTATATATTAATTCTTCAAGTAAGGATTAAATGTATTTATCAAATCCCTTTGGAGAGATGTGTTTTGTTTGTATGTTTTTTTTTTTTATTTTTTCCAAAGATGGAGGGTTAACAAAGACACAAACTAACATTAGACAAATAAGCATTTGTTTGTTTTGTTTCTGAGACAGGGTGGATGTAGCACTGGCTGTCCTGGAACTCCCTATACATATAACCATGCTGGTCTTCAACTCTCTGATAGCTGTCTTATGAGTGTTGGGATTAAAGGTATGGGTTATGGTAACCCATGATTCAGATGCTGAGTGTGACAGGTAATAATCTTGCCCCCAATATGTTTCTTTCACTAATACAAATATAGAGTTCCAATTCACCTTTTCACACATTTCATCTGCTGAGCCTGACACAAACAGTACAGGATCCTTTATACGAAAGAGATCTTCATCTCTAAGTTTATGCTGCTGCTTTGGATGGTGCAGTGGGTAAGAAATACAAATCAGACCTCGAACAAAATCATCAGCGTCATCTGGTTCAGCATGACACATTACAGAAGCAGCTGCTCTTGAACCCATTGAACGACCTATAACCAATTAAGCTCAATTAGAAATATAAATATTTACATACAATAGTAGTGATAGTATGGTAAAATTAGAGTTGCTATTCTTCACATTTATGGAGAAAAAAAAAATCACAATTCAAAAAAGTGGCAACCAACAAATTCCAATGGTTTTAATGGAAACCTACAGATTTATGAAAAGCTAAAAGCTGATTTGGCTTGAGCCCAATTTTAAAAAGAATCAATTATTTTTCTCAATACTTAAAAGGATGAAGAAATTCTTTTACAATGAATCAACTGGAAGAGTGATAAAATGCTGTGAATAAAGGGAGAGAAACTTTTAACACACAAATGCTTTAGATTTGCTTTAAGCATATAAAATACTTCAAAATAAAGCATCAGGGTTATGCATCAGAATAACTCTTATTTCCTGTTATCAATTTTAATATTATAATACAATTAACACTGAAGCTTACCTCCGAGAAAAACACCAGCAAGTTTGTATTCTCCTGAGGTCTTTAGGTAATTCTAGGTAAATCAACCAAAAAATTATCAATTCCTCTCATATCATATTCCACTAGATATTCTTATCATTAATGAAGTATAGAAAAATTTATGCAAAGACAAATGTACAGATTCTTATAGGAGATACAGTTTTTTTCCAGTTCTGGTCATGTATTCACTATTAATCCTTATGTTGGTTAATATGTCAGGGAAAAATAAATTTGCCTTTATAATATTCAAGCAGTAAACTGTTGGGACACACTCCAGGAATGGAGTTGTGTTCGAATTCTGAGTGCTTGTGAGAAAACTCCAAGAAAAAAAAGAGTCTTGTGATTTCAGTTTCTTCAAAATACTAAATTGTTCTTGTTTTTATGGTCTTCCTAGGTGTAGTGCATAGAAGTGAGTTTACTTCAGATGTTATTCATATGCCTCTACAGAGAAACATTTTTTTGCCATGTGTGCTTGTTTTCGTTATTAAACATTTTATTCATGTGAGCTTTCTTAACCCTCAGAGTCTAACTTGCCTGATGCTCTGAATACAGTTGGTTATTGCATGAAATTTTAGTCTGCCTCATTTAATGGCTCCATTCCCCCAGTTCCCATCACCTGTAGAGCTGTAAACAAAGTGGCACCCAGTAACCTGAAGTCAGCTAAGAGATAAGACAGTAAGGACTCTCACAGAAGGAAGTGAATCGAGCATTATAGGGCAGAAACCAGGGAAGGCTTTGCCTTATGTTGAGCTTGTGCATCATTTCTTAAAGGAGAAGGGGGAAAAAAAGGGCTGGAGGGATGGCTTAGAGGTTAGAAGCACTGGCTACACTTCCAGAGGTCCTGAATTTGGTTTCCAGCAACCACATGGTGGCTCACAACCATCTATGATGAGATCTGGTGCTGTCTTTCCGTGTGCGGGTATACATGCGGACAGAGCATTGTGTACATGATAGATAAATTAAAAAAAAAAAAAGGAGAAGGACAGGTATCAAAATTATAACTACTAGACTGCTTGCAAGTTGTTTATGATTATGTCTGTTCCAGAAGGAGGAACTTTAGATGAAGAAGTATGGGGCAGACTCTAAAAGAATATTGAAAAGGCAAAATAAACAAGGGGAAAGATGCCTGTTCAATTTTGGGTCACTTGAGCATTGATTCAACTTGTTATTAAAATACTTAAGGAAGATAAGGAGGATACTAAGTATGACAAAGAGATAGCTAATTCCTCGAATGGCCAAAAACTCAATCAAATCTTAAAACTGACAAAAAGGCAAAGATTTCTTCCTGTGCAGGCAAAATCAAAAGTAAAAACAGTATGAACTATGACAGTGACACGTTCCCTCAGCTCCCTTATTGGAGCCTCCTTTAAAATACATATCCTCCATTGTCTGAAAATGACCCCGAGTGAAGAATCTTGTAATCAATCTAATCTTGAGTTCTCTCCACTTTTTGATGAGAACTTTGGAGAACCTATGAAAAAGCTACCTTTACAACCCAGACAAGCTAGGGCATGGCTGGAAAAAGTACTTTATCTACCCACCTCTCTCCAGCCTCATAAGCTGTGCTTAGTATTTCCAGTGTAATTTCAGCAAAATTAAAATGTTTACCTAATTATGCACTAACCAATCTACTTAAAACTCTAGAAAAAATAAAGACTGTGTTGGACAACCCTTGCACATTGTTATCAAGAGCAAAGGAAGAACTACAACTCTTTGAATCCAGACTAAAAGAAGCATTTGTGTATTAAGTGGACCCTTTGCTGCCTTTAAACTTACTTTCCCCACTAAACTGTTTCCTATAGGTATTATAGCATACAGAGAATAAACCCTTGAAATGGAATTATTTATACCAAAAGGGCCATAAAATACTTGACTGCTTTGCCTTTCTGTTCTTGTTCAACTAGTAAGAGGAGGACCTGATGCTAGTAATTATCATATAGGTCTCTTTTCAAGCTATACTCTAGAATCTTTTGGTCAATATAATAATGTAACTAATAGTACCGAACATAGTTTGGATCTCTGTTCGAGGAGGCAGAGTATTATACACAATGTTTTCACTGTTCTAATATTATAATTTGCTTGCTTATAGAAATGTTCATGAATCAAAGGACAATATAAAACATCTAAAATAAAAACCATTCTGGAGATCCTGCTATTAAAAAATAAAAAAGGGTGAGAGATGTCAGAACACAGTCCAAGAACTGTGAGTGCTTGGAGAACACTCCAAGAAAACAGGGTAAGAGTCTTGTTATCGCAGTTTCTTCAAATCACATAATTGCTCTGGGGATGTGTTTTTATGTTCCTTCCAGGTTTTGCAGATAGGAGTGAGTTTACTTCAGTTTTTGTTATTCATATGTCTCTATGAAAAAACATTTTTGTCACATGTGCTTGTCGTTGTTATTGAACATTTTACTCATGTGATTCTTTTTAACCCTCAGAGCGTAACTTGCCTGATGCTCTAAATAAAGTTGACTATTGCATAAGACGTTACTCCACCTCATTTTTAGGCCCCACTCTCCCAGGCTCATGACACCTACTAGAGAGATAAACAGTAAGCCTGATAAAGGAAAAATTATTTTTTTTCAAGCTGGAAGCTGCAAATTTGATGAAAATACTAGCATGTAATGTAAATAATTTAAACAAAATTTCAGTGTTGACCTTTACCCAGGGCTTTTAAGTCATGCTTATGAACAACATATAAAGGTGGTATATCTGTACATGAACAGTATAGTAGGTTTTATTCTCTAGGATTGGCAAATCTATATTCTAAAGTTAGATTGTTTCCAGTGAAAAAATTCTAAGTAGTTTCTTGGGCAGCAGTATGAAAAAACACTTATGAGGTCAACATTCATCTCCATGAAAACAAACTGATGACAAGAAAAGAGAAATATAACCATTAAATAATCTCCATGTACTGGCAAGTTTCTAAGAATACTCAGAAAAATTTTTTATCTAAAAATCAAATAATATGACAAAATATCTTAAATTTATAAAGAATTTTAAACAGAACCTTAAAAGTAAATACATTTTTCTTACCAAAACTGCTTTATATGCCTTAATTCTATGTACAATGTTAAGGCCTTTGCAAGTAAATCTCAGGCAAAAAAATCCATGAGATGCAAGATGGGATGCCAGTGACATCAAATGAGGAAGATTCATATCTCCTGATGCTCCATGTGTAAGAATTATTCCATATGCTATGTTCTTGTTAGGTACCAAACAAACGGCATCCAGTAATTTATTTCCAAAAGGTATTTTTAATTTAACCTAAAATCCAAGAGAATAAAAAGATATTATTTCCTTGACTGAATTTAAGCAACTGAATAAATAAACATATTTGTTTTATAGGACTCGTGACTAAATGCATGGCCTCCAAACAAACATGATATTTATAGTATTTAAGAAGTGTTTACTGTCAGGTACTTAAAGCGCTAATGTATTTACTCATATAAGCATTCCTTATAATTCTATGAGGCAAGTGCTATTATTCCTACTTTACAGATAAGGCATAGCAGATTAAGTAACTTGCTCAAAGTTACATAGCTATTAGCTAAGAAGCAAAGTCAGGTAGTCTTGTTCTGGCGTCTTTACTCTCCAATACAAGTTTTGTATTGTCTCTATCTTGCAAACTGAAAACAAGGCTAGTACACAGAATTATATGATAATCAATGAAAATTAGTCCATTTCCCCTACCTCCCCCAAAAGTTAATCTGAAGATGCTGAACATATGAAAATATCTTACCTCTGTATGACTCATTTTCACTGCTGAATAGTAAACATAAAGCACATTACATCCAAGAAACAAAGGGCATCTCCCTGAAAAGAAGACTCTGTTATGAAAGGTTAGTTGTCAGACATATATATGACACCAGAACAATTAATGAGCAGATCCAAAAGCTGAAATAAACACAATCCGAAACTAGTTCTCTACAAGCTGATATCTCTTTATATATTTATTACTTAATCATGTATTACTTTCAAGATTTTTATGGGCACTCAAAACTAATTACAAGAGCTGGCAGATAGTATATAAGATAAAGCAAATGGGATACACTGACATAGGTCTTAAAGTAGTTTATTCCAAAAACAGGATGCTGTATCTTTACAAAAATATTTTTGTAATCTATTTATAAGAATTTTCATTCTTAGCTGGGCATAGTGGTGCATGCCTGTAACTCCAGCACTCAGGGAGGCACAAGCAGGGAGATCTCTGTATGAGGCCATCCTGGTCTACAGAGTAAGTTCCAGGACAGTCAAGGCTACATACACAGAGAAACCCTGCATTGAAAAACAAAAACAAAAACAAAACCAAACTTCATTCTTATTCACCTTAATGTAATTTCTATATATCTAATTTTCTTTATCATTTCTTTTTTAATACAATCTCAACCATTTTCAATTTAATTTCCCTGCAGCTATTAAATCATTTCTATCATGTCATTTCCCCCCTTCTGTGTAACAAAAGTATCTATCCACAATCCTTGTCATGTGAATCTACTGACACTAGGTTTGGCTACTGGAACATTTCCAAGTGCTACTTCTAAGTTGAGCTTTGGTGAATTCCTAGAAATTTGGTACTGAATTTCACCCTGAACTCATAGAGAAAAACTATCCAAGGAAGTTTTTCATTTTCAGCGAGAGTCCCATAATGAAGACAGTTCCAGCAAAACTGAAACCAAATTAAAGCCTATAACTCAGTCTATATCACAACTGATCTGAAGAACCACAGCATAAATGGGCATAAGACACTATAATCTTTGTGACTGTTATCTATTCTTTTCTATTGTAAGAGAGCTTTCATTTTTTAGCATATCATTGGCATCAGAATTTCCATTATCACCCATATGCCTTCACTGGTATTTAGTAGGTTCAAAGCTCAAAAAATACCAAGAATATATATTGTCTCATTTCACTTTTGCCTTGCACTCAAAACCTCTCTTGAGGCTACTGCCATTATTTGCTTCTCGTGACTCTTTCTAGGTATATTAAACATGTATACTCACATGTAAGTATATTTGTAAGAAAAATTCATGGGAGAGGAAATGCTACATCAAATAATCTGTTCATACTTTTAAAAACTTTTTATTTAAAAATAGGCAATACATACATTTATCTGTTGTTGTATACACATATGTGCAAGTGCACGTGTGTGTGCCTGCATGTGGAGGCCAGAAGTGAACACCAGGTGTCTTCCTATATTACTCTTGCTTATTAAGACAGTCTCTCACTGAACTTGGATCTCATCAATCTGGGTAAGCTGGCTGACCAGCCAATAAGCTTTAGGTATCTGCCTACTAGGGTTGCCAGAATCTAGGCCTGGCTTTTAAATGAATGCTGGGGATCCAAAGACAAGATTCTCAGCTTTTACATCAGCTGAACTGTATCCTCAGCTCCCAGTACAAAATTGAAAACAAAAATGTAAACAGCGAGGTCTCTTCACATTTTAGTATTAAATTTCTTACTCCCTGCCAGAAGCAACCACTGCTAACTTGTGTTTATGCTTCCTCATTGTCCTTTTCATCCCACCCACACCTGTTGAGCATGGAGGTTATTAATCTAAGCTACTAAAGTTTTGTAAGTTGAAAGAGGAGTGAATGAAGAAATTATGGCTTTAGGGCCTTTATTTTCATAAATATATCCTTAAAATTAACTAACTGCCTTGGGTCCTCCAGTTAAAAAACAAAAATTCTTTGTCAAAAATATGCCTCCTCCTCTTCTAAGCATGGGGAACACAATCACTTAAGAGGGTGAAATGTGGGAAAGTAATTGAAATATCCTACTCTTCCTTAAAAAGATTCAACCTAACTTTTACATCATCCACATCAATGCACTTCCACTTCCAACTCTATCTAGTACTACCAGTTTCTGTGTGTTTTGAAGGTCATAATTTATTCAGGGTAGTTTTACTGTTCCCTACTGCTGGTTTAGCCACTGCTTTTTAGAGTCAACTGTTAATATTTCCCAAGGTCTCTCTCCCAGTGACTTTTTGTCCAAAAAAAAAAAAAAAGGCCAGGTTGGGTGGGGCCTGGACTGAAAGGCAGAAACAGGAGAATCACTGCAAGTTTGAGAGTAGCCTGAACAAGACCCTATCTCAAAACTGAAACAAAACAAAACACCCTTCCCTGTAATTTTAATGGGATTTCAGAAGGCAGTAAAATTAGACCCATGTTTTCAAATTAACACCAAACTAGAAAGCTCTTTCGGATTACTTTGGGTTTTATTTTTAAGAAAAACTTTGCTCTCCAGACTCCACGCCGAATTTGTTCTACGCTGCTTCAGTAACCCTGAAAACGTCCCACAGGATAACAGGGTAATAACGGATAGTGTCGATTTTATCTCTAGCTTTTTTTTTCTTTTTTAGATAAGGGAGGGCTGAAGCCTGGCTCTGCCTCAACGTCTTCCACAGCAAATGGAGAAAACTTCAACAACCGGGTTAGACTGATACACACACACACACACACACACACACACACACACACACACCCACCCCCACCCCAAACGCAGCTGATTCGGTACCAGGTCCAAACGTTAGGAGTAGAGCGGAGTTTGGGGGGAGGGGCTGCTTCCACCCAGAGGTGGTATTTTACGGTCGTATCTTCCCACTAAGCCGTCAAAACGCCACCGTCACCTGACTTCCACTTAAAAAAAAATAATAATAAACATTTACGCCTTGTCTCTTACGTCTGCACCGTTACGCTGGCTGTCACCGGGCGAACAAAAATGAGTTCTAGTCTGGCCGGGCTCGACCGACCAACGGAGCCAAACAGCCAAACCCGGGGTTAGGGGGTCCGCGGGAGTCGTCGTTTATTCGCTCAACGACCGCTCGAGTCCCGGGCCCGGCAGGCGCCATCCCTCGGGCAGAGCTCACGACTGGGAGGAGGCTCCGCTCCCGTCACCCGCGACAGCCCACCGGAGTCGCCGCGGCCCGGCTCCGCCTGCCCGTCGAGCCAACCCCGCGTCCGCCCTCCTCGGCCAAGCCGGCCACGGGCTGCTGCCCGGCGGCGGCGAGCTTCCACGCGCGCCTCAGGCGGCGGCCGACAGCCCCCGAGGAGCGGCCCGCTGCCCCGCTTCCCGCCGCCGCCGCCGCCGCGCTTACCAGCGAACGCACGAGTGACCGCCGGCGCCCAACCGCCCTCACTCTCTTCAGGGAGCAACTAACACGCTCGAAGCGACCGCCTCGCCGCCCCCGTCAGCGCGGCCCGCCACTGCGCACGCGCGCGCAGGCCCCGCCCCCGAGTCTCGTGGGGGCGCGCCGCGGGGCTCGCCGGGAAGGAGAGTTTTCCGCTCGCCTGAGCTCGGCCCCGCCTCCCGCGGGCGCCGGGGGGGTTGCGATCCTGAAGCGAGGATTAGAACGCTGGTGCAGCCAAGCGCGGGAAAGCCGCTCCTGTCGCTACCTTAGCCTCTTCCGGTCCGATCGTCCCTTCATAAGTCATGGAGTAAACCCTTGCTAGCCCCTTCCCCGACATGGATTCCTTATACCCTTGGCTTTGAGGCGCGTCCAACCCGGTGCCGCATGCGCACAGGATAGCTATGCGTGCGGCCCAAAACAAAACAGTGCACTCAAAACATTATTTATTTACGTATTTTTATTGCTTATTTATTTATTTTGCGACTTAAACTTTTCCTTTTTGGCGACTTGGCTGCGTAATTCGGTGTGAGCTTTGTAGATGGCCAGGTCAGAAAAATGTCAAAAGGTTTAATGCTTCTCACCTGTACCAGGCTACCTGCACTACCTGCATTAGCCTCAGGCCACCAGAAGGGTCGGTTGCTAACAAGCCTGTGCCCATCACTTCATGTGGCAGTCCCAGGGTGAACAGGACCCATCCACTCAGTCCCTCCTGAAGTCTCCACGCTTCCCTCTTTAGAGTCAAATAACCAGAATTTCCTCTTGTTCTTTCCGTGGATTGCCACCTCACTCCCAACCGACCAAGCAGGGCCCACTGCAGAGGTTTGATCCTGTTCTATTTCCTCAAAGTGCATCTTTTACTTAGGACTTCATTTACATGTCATTGTTTTTCTTTTTCAGGCCTTTTCGGAAGTTTAAACTTCCTTAATGAAGGTGTGTGTGTGTGTGTGTGTGTGTGTGTGTGTGTGTATTTGAATCTCCTATATAAGATAACGCCTGACAAATGTTTGCTGAATGAATGAATCCCCCTCAGGTACATTGGACTTGGTACCTGCCCTTTTTTTTTCTGACATAAAACATACTAACAATTAGGGGAAAGCCATTTATCACAAGTACTTTCTAAATGTCTGCTAATCTTTCTTCCTTCCCTCAGTCTTTCCATAACCCTCTTCTTCCTCAGCCTCTGCTGATGTTAATGGAGCTAACACTGAGAAGTTTCAAGGGAAATTTTTTATTTTATAGCCAGGCCAGACTTAACACTGTCCTCAGGAGTAGGAGAATGAAAGCAACCCAGGCCATAAACAGGAAAGCCTTTTTATGCTAAATGATCAAATGATCAAACAAACAAACAAACAGAATTTTTGGAGTTATTTTTATGATCATGTTAGAGGTAGATAGTTAACATACCATGAAACATTTTATGGTCAGTCAACTCTTTGAACAATGGAAACAATTTACAACATTTAATTCACAAGATTATTGAGGCAGAACAAGTTAAAAAAAGAAAAGAGAAAAAAGAAACCAAGGTGACCTCTATCCAAAGACATGATCAAAGTCTAACACTGTTTAACTAAAAAGAAAAAATGGAGTCAGCTGTCCCTTAACAGGTGTCTGGGACCCAAGGCTTTTTGTCCATGCAGACATTCTATCACTAAGCTATACTGCTTGCTCATGTCTGCTATTTTCTAGCTATGTTTTATTTACTTTATTTGCATGACTTAAGTTTCAATTAAAGTATACATTTTGGTGATCTCCAGTAACTGTACAATCATCAAATTCTAAGGACATTTCATAATTTCTAAAAGAAACTTGTCATTCCCCTTTCCTACCTTTAACACCAGATAACCACTAACTTGGGTTGTGTCTATAGATTTACCTTTTCTGGATAGTTCATATAAATGGAGTCATAGAATGAGATCTTGCACCACTCTGTTATGTGTAAGTGTATTCTGCCTCTTCTTATCAATTCATTTCTATCACTGAGTCCTTTTAAACAATTTCTGTATCTGTTACTGGGCATGGACACTTGGCTTATTGTGAATCATATTGCTGCAATGTTCAGAGACAGCGGTGCTGTGGTGAGAGAAGCAAAGGCTGACTTTCAGACATTAGGCTGTAGGCTAGGAAGATGGAGAGAGGGTTCTCAAGGCAACAAATGTTAGGAATGTAGCATAAGGAAAGAAAGAAAAGAAAGAAAGAAGAAAGAGAAAAAGGCAAGAATATGGCCCCCCTTTTCATCAGAAGGAGTCAACCCTGCTTAATGTCCTTAACATTAACTGTGACTTCCAGAATTGCAACAACACAACTATATTATTTTAGACGACTAAGTATGTGATAGTTGTTTTTTTTTTTTTTCCCACAGATGGTAAGAGAAAAATAATATAAAACCTTTATTTATGAACCAAAATTTGAGTTCTACATGTACTGGAATTTTTTTATGATTTCAACCACTTAAGATGTTAAAATTATTTTTAGTTTAGAGGCTATACAAACATGGGTGGTAGGTCAGATTTGGCCTGTGGATTGTAGTTTAAAATGTCCTAAATCAAGATCAGGTATGGTGGCCCACTCCTTTAATCCCAGCACTCAGGAGGCAGAGGCAGGTGGAACTCTATGAGTTTCAAGCCAGCCTGCTCTACATAGAGAGGTTCAGGCCAACCAAACCATGATTACCTAGTAAGATCATGTCTTAAAAAAAAACAAAGAAATGGCTAGGTAGTGGTGGAATATGCCTTTAATCTCAGCACTGAGGTAGGAAGGAGTGGGAGGGGAGGGCAAGGCAGGTGGGTCTCTGTGAGTTCAAGGACAGCCTGGTCTCCAGAGTGAGTTCCAGGATAGCCAGGGCTATACAGAGAAACCCTGTCTCGAAAAATCAAACCAAACTAAACAACAACAAAACAAACACCCCAAAACAAAAACCAAAAAAGAAAGAAAATTAAACATAAATTATTAAATGGCCACATTGTATAAAATTCTTAAGAAGTTAAAAAAAAAGAATGTCTAAATCAACTCAGCACTGACCAAATAAATAATGTAGAATGATCATGGCTTTTCACCGTGTTTCAAGATGAAAATGTTAGTGTAATTCACTATAAATGAATGCAACAAAACCAGAAAAATAAAATACGAACAGTTCCAATAGATATCCAAAAAAATACAGCTATTTAAAGGTCTTCTTAACGATTTGCTTTTATAAATTAGTATCAGAAGTTTTTAACATTTTGGTTTTTTATTTGTTTGGTTGGTTTTTCAAGACAGGGTTTTTCTGTGTAGCCATGGCTGTCTTGGAACTTGCTCTGTGAATCAGGCTGTCCTAGAACCCACAGAGATCTACCTGCTTCTGTTTCCCCAAGTGCTGGGATTAAAGGCGTGTGCCAACATGCATGGCTGAGAAGTTTTTAATATTTTAACAGTAGCTTATCATTAGCTATGCCAACAGTCAACCTCTGATTTACACACTCATATTAGTGATAAGTAGGCATTATCTCCCACCCCAATGATGACATTTTTAGCCACAACCCATACTTAATTATTTTCTTGATTTCAAGTGTCCATTCTTTTTCCAGAACAGACAGTAACTATTCCTATCTTTCGAACTTCGTATAATATATGTATGCATATTAGGTATTCAATATATATTCACTGTATGAATTCCCATTAGTGATGGTTAACTTGGTTGGGCCTTTCCCCAAATAAGGTCAAATAATCTGAATATTTCTGCCAGAATATTTTTCAATGAGATTAACATTCAAATCAGTGAACTTGAAGAAACGCAGATTGACTGTTACAATGTGTGTGGAACTTACATATAATTGGAGGAGAAACGTGAGTAGTGGGACTAAAGGCATGTACCAGCACGCCTGGCCCCCCTGCTAATTCTTTAATTGCATTTTCAAGGTAATTGTCATTTATTTACCCATTTACAATCTGTGGTCCCTTCCATGTTCAGGCGAGCCTGTTAGACCATAAAAAGTCTTTGTAGGCAATATGCTTAAGGTCCGGGGTATAAGGGAGGGTCTACCCAAACTACCGCAAAGTATGCTGACTCCACGACATGAACAGTCAGAGGCGCCACATTCCCGCTAAGGGCCGGACAGGAGTGTGGATCCTGGCTCCCACAGAAAGGGAGAAACAAATGCCAACACAGGAAGAAAACAAGCACGGCAGTAGGGTTCACGATAACAAACGGTAACAGATTTGCCTAACAACAGAGGCAGAGGCCAGATAAAGGCAGCTCTTGCAATGTTTTATCAGAATGAGGCTTGGCTGTGACTGAGTGAAGAGTCATTCTCAAATAAAAACAGCTCAAAGGAGAGAAAGTTATCAGTATTTTAAGACAGAGTCTTGCTGTCTTCCAGCTTATTGTGTAACTCAGACTGGCCTTGAACTCATGGCAATCTTCTTGTCTCAACCTCGGGGGGGCTGAATTACAGGCATGGACCACCACAGCCGGCTGGGTTTAGTTTTTAGAGGTCTGTTTGAGTCAGAGCAAGGAGTCAGCAGAATGCCACAATCAAGGACTCAGACTCTCCTTTTTCTACTCATACATAGAAAATAATTGGTACAAAATAGACCTTTAAAATAAAGGTGGTTTTATTAAAAAAATTTAAAAATGTGCCGTAAAAGACAGTCATGGAATACTGCGTAAGAAGAAATACTCTGAGAAAGTGAACACTCACCAGTAGATTTTACATTGTAAAACTAATACTTAAAAAAAAATCTTTACAGTTACGAAGTATCTTCAGAGCACCATCATTTGAATAGGGATATTTTGCATATCAGAGTTCATCTTTGGTCTGTAATTAAGAAGAAAAACGTTAAGAGCCACTAAGAAATCTTAGGAACCAAGAATGCTCATACCAGATAATTAGTTTTTCCTAAAGAGAGAGGAGGAAAAAAAAAAAATCCAAGTTTCTTCTAGGTGTTTTAAGGGCTCGGGACTATTTCTGTAGGACCAGAATACCCAGTGTAAACTCACACTCGGATGGATCTTAAATATGCGGGGGTCTGTGTCACCACTACACCCCGAATGTGTGAAGGGATGGGGTAGACAGCAAGATATGCCACTCCCACGCAGACCTCCACTAGTTAGTGAGAGACACTGATTTGCTACCTACTCTCTCCACATCTAAAGAGAGAGACGGGAAATGAAACTGCCCATATCGTACAGAGCCAAAGCAAATGTGGTAATTAATCCTTTTCATTCTTGGCCGTAGTGACTTTACAGCTCTTGCAGCGCAGACATGGATTAGCATAGATGATGTACCCTTAGCAGATAGTGAGTTAGTGGCAAATCATTTTTCATAAAAGACAAATCTGCAAAAAACCAAAAATTCGTACTTACAGACTGTCATGGCGCACAGATTCCCACCAGGCTGATAATCAGGTACCAAATTTTTAACCAGTACTCAGAATTCCTGCATATTTCAGACAGTGTGCAGGCATTTGCACTGGTTCTGTCACATATCTGGGGCCAGAAGGTTAGTCTTGTTACCTTTCTCCTATGGCATGTGCAAGGAAAGAGGTCGTCCTCAGATTGTGGCTCTACCTTCTTCATACCCTCTCGAATTTGGGGCTCACTCACTTGTAAATTGGCATAACCCTGTTAAACAGCAACACAAAGGCATTCCTTAAGCAGAGCTTTTAAAAAATACCAAAGGAGACACGATGGAACTCACAAAAAAAGGCAATCTTTTAATGCATATGTACCTTAGTGTCCTCCATATCCATTTTAAATGTCCAATACAGAGTCCCTGATTGCGCTCCGAATACTGGCTACCGATTTCTAATATACCCCTTATTAGTCTATGTGTGTGTGAAACATATATGATGATGTGTAGAGGCCAGAGATGGACATCATATGTCTTTCTTAATTACCCTCCACATTCTTTTTAGAGGCAGGGTCCCTCACTGAATGACTACATTGGCTGGACATGAGCCCAGGGATTCTCCCAGCTCTGCTCCCAGTGCTGGGATTACAGACAAGTTCTGCCACAAATGGGCCTTCACAGGGGCACTGGGCATGCTACCTTGTCCCCTTACACTGTGTAGCAAGCACTCTACCCCTCCAGCTATCTGCTTAGCCCTATTTTGATATGTATTTTTGAGAAAAAGCGTCACTATAGTTGGCCTAGTGATAGGTACACCACACAAATTTGCAGCAATCCTTTTGTCTTTACGTCTTGAGTGACAAGATTATAGGTGTGTGCCACTACATTAGCATATTTACATTTTAAAACACTTTTCTTTTACATTATGTGTCTGAGTGTGGGTATGTACACGAGTACATATCAACATATGATGTCCACCTCTGGCCTCCACACATCAACATTTATGTTTTATACACACATACACACATATGTATATCAACAGAGGCCAAAGGTATCGGATGCCCTGAAGCTAGAGTCACAGACAATTGCGCGCTGCCTGACATGGATGATAGGCACCGAATTCAGGTTCTCTTCGAGAACAATACGTGCTCTTAAGTGGAGCACTCTCTCTCCAGCCTCATAGCCCAAATTTATATGACTAAATATTTCTTTAAGCGTAAATAATGCTGCACAAAATTCCTGCTAGAAGGAGAACAGAGCCCACTCCTTTCTTCCCCACTAAGGCTGCATGACTCTGAATCATCACCTTTCTTGATTATCTTCTTATTCTGCAATGGGCACCATACGAGGCATGGAAGCTGCACATTAGCTAAGTAAGTGATAAAACACAGTGGGTCTTTGGATGTTCAGACAGTAATCCCCTTGTTCTAGTTCATTCATTTTACACAGCTTGCTCTCTGTATCCTTTCACCTTCTAGGAAAGATTATAAATCAGACCAGTACAAATCAGAGACAGAACAACTTTGCTCTGTAGCAGAGCCCAATATATGGTATTTGATATCTATAAGTCTGAGACAAGAATCTTAATTTAGCTCTATTATTATTAGGAAATAAATTTATTTATGCACTTTTTAAAAAGATAAGCCTTTTAAATAATCAGATACGTTGGGATTATACTTTATAAATTCTTGGTTCGTGAAAATGATTTTCAAGAAAAGGCATGAGTCATTTGGGGCCAAGAGGCTGATTATTCTTTGCACTCCATTGAATTAAGGCTTTTTTTCATATTTTTATTGATTGATTGCCTACAGTACCCAGTATTGCCAAGCAGGCTCCCATGCAAGTATGAAACAGGTCTGATCCTGTTTAGCTGCCAGATTAAATGAGGCTGGCCTTGTTTGAGGAAAATATGACCGTAGACCCCTTTGAACGTGCAACCAGACAGGACATGACCCTTTGCCTACCCAAGTTTGGACTTCCTTTCCACACATACAGCCCAGCCTCCAAACCCAGGCCCTGAGGCCTAATATCAACATTTTCACTTGATGTTGTCACATTCTTGGTATTCAACATCTCTTCCCCTAATGAACCCAATGCCTCGTGCATTATATCCTCTACAGTTAAGCTATACTTCAAGCCCCAGATACTTACTATTTAGTATCTGTGTCTAATTTTTACCAAAGTGGTACATATATGTCCATATAGTAATATACTTTTAGAAAGTTTTATGTGAAATACTGTTGGCCTGTAACATGTCTAATCATAAGTAATATAAGGTGCATGTGTGTGTGTATCTGTGTGTGAAAATACTAACCTGGAAAAGTTTGAAGTAATAACAGAATATATCATCACCCATCAGATTATTTCTTGCAAATTCTTGCCCTGCTTTTGCTATCTTCTTTGCCTATTGGGAATTAAAACAAAACAACACCCTTTAAGGGAACTTTTTTTGCCTCATTTTTTTTTCTCAGACATATGCAGACCTTCCGACTACACAGTGAAGACGAAACAGAAAACATATCCTTGGGAGCAGCCTTCAGTGGCAAAAGGTGCATTTCACAGAGTACATTTGTTCAGCTCAGAGAGGTTTGCAAGATTTCAAAGTACAAGTCACCATGTGGGATGCTTAGAGAGAAGCCCTCCCTTGGAGAAAGGAGTTAGACCCAAGCCAAGTAACAACTTATTAAGCACACAGTATGAAGCCTTGCATGCCCTCTGTTCGGTTTTCAGTAGACATTTAACTCCAAGCTCGCTTATATTAAAAACCCCTTGTTTTATTCTACAGCAGTCACTGACATCTACTGTCAGATAGGCACTGCTTATGCTCACAACCGACCTGAACTAAAGAGAAAGACACAATCAAGGCCAGAGTTTAGCAGCGCGCTCAGCTAATCTAAAATGCAGTTATGTGGACCTTGAGGAGACCTGTGCACTACCCTTGCTCAGGGAGCATCCCACGTGCGGGTAAAAGCTGCACCTGAACATCCCAGTGCCCTGGCATGTTTCCAACTCTCCTGTGACACAGCGGTACAAGTAGTAGGAAGCCTTCTAGGAGACTGACCTTACCTCTGCATCGTGATCTTTTGCCCACTTGAGCTTTTCCAGCAGGTCGCTCAGATTGCTTTTGACTGGGATGTAGTGTTTCCAGGGCTGTAGCTCATTGTAGAAATGTTCATAGTAGATGGAGTCCTGCTTCAGGACCACACTGTCGCCCACCAGCAGATAGGGCAGGCGGTACGCTGCCACGGTGCCATCGATATTTATCTGATACTTGTGCTGCAAAACAGGAGCTTGTAAGAGCCCTCACTGAATTCCCATTTCTACTCATTTTCTCTTTCCCCTTCTATGCACAATTTTGCCCTCCTCAGACACACTTCCCCTCTCCATCAAAATTGAATAAATGCTCTTATTATACACTGTGTTGATCTAGAGTTAAAGGTTAATTTGATATGGCTCCAAACTTTCCAAACGCAGCTACACATCTAACACTGAAGCAGTTAGCAAATTAATAATACAGATGTCCTAAGGGAAGGCAGAGCTGTAGCTTTGTAAGTCCTCTGCTTCTTTACTGATTTACCTGTGCGGCTAATGGCAGCAACATTCTATGCCATGTCAGCAGTATTTTTAAAATATGACATGGCAACACACATCTTAAGAAATTAACAATCTCGGGCATAAGAACATCTATGATTAATACTGTGGAAATCAGGATCCCTAGATGTGGAAAACTCAAGAATATGTAAGAATAAAGTCAAGTGATAAAATACTGCGCTTGGCTCTGGGAGAGGGCTCAGGCAGTAAAGTGCTGGCCATGCAAGCATGAGGACCTGAGTTTGGAAGCCCAGAACCTTTCACAAAAGCAGGGTGTGGTGGCATGTGCTTGTAATTCTGGTGCTGGGGAGGAAGAGACTGGTAGATTCCTGGAGCTACAGGCCAGTCAGTATAGCTTACCTGGCATGCTCCAGGCCAACTGAGATACTCTGTACCAAAAATCAAGGAGCCATACACCCAAGGCTCTTTTGGCCTTTCTACACACAGGCGCCCACACGCTCGCCCACACACACCCCCTTTCTGAGAAGGGATGGCTAATCATCTCTTGTTACATTAAAAAAAATTGTTTATATATATATATATGTGAAAACATCAACATATGAATTATTGGCATCCCTAAGGTCTATCTACTACTACAGAATCCATAAAATAAAACTGCATCATCCATAGAAGAGGTCACTAATTTCTCGTTTTCTCCCACTTTTTTGTTGAGCCAAAGAACTGCAGAAACCTCCTCCAGGGCTGGGGAGTGGGGAGGCAGCCACTGCTTGAAAATGAGTTGTCAGAGAGAGGATTACTTCCTGGGAAACACGAATCTACAACCAAGGTGTGGAAAAACCACGTGTCATGCCCAGAATGCTCAGCAGAATGACTGGATGTGTTTCAAGTCATGCTTCAGCAGAATGCCTGGTAAGAGATGCCTGTTTTAAATCTTGCTATTAACGCTATGATTTTGGGGATCAAGTATTTATAAAATGACTTACACATACTTTCTAATAAAAAAGGATTTGAGCAAACACACATTTATCTTAAGGGTTATCTGGAAAAAAAAAAGATAACTTTTTCCAGGCTCTGAATTCCCATAATGCCTAGTCAGTATCAGTGCTGTGTGGTGAATCCAGATTCACCAAGACGCAGTACTCATTGTGTTTTGTGAACCTTCCCATGCTCTGTAACTTGTAGATTTCAGTTTCCTTTCCCCAAAGTGCTATGTACACATAAATTGGAAAGCAGAAAGAAATAGCCATAGGTGATGTCATACCTTGAAGAAATCAAAAAACGAAATGTGTTTCACAATGGGCCCATACAGGCTCTCATCGTGTTTAAAGAAGAAGAAGTTGGTGAAAGCAGCGTCGATGAGCTCTGGATGTTTTCTGCTAAGCTTCACCAGCTCCAGTCTCTCTTTGCGGCTGTCACGGCCCCTCCAGACAGCTGTGGAGTTCTTATTTTCCCAGGGAGGCCCTGTGTTAGCTTGCACTGACATCATATCCAGACTTACTCTAGAAGACAGAAAACAGAACATGTCTTCCTCCCAAACCATCAATTCATGAAAGCAGCTGGAAAAGAACTCACCAAAGAGAGCAAACCAAGGCTCGGGGTCAACCCTGACCATCTCTCACCGGCCCATGGTTTCTAGAACAGAGTCAGTCAGGTCGTACGTGGGCATCACAATATCCCTGGAATCTGTGGAGCCACACCAGGAAAAGATCGGCTGAATGTTGGAATTAGATTTCTTCTTTTCCAAAGGCCAGTCTCCCAAATTAACAAAAAACTCCACATCTGGCATCCTCACCTAGGGGCGGGGATAACACAAACTTATTCACAGTCACGCACTGTACATGATCATATATTTATCAGTTAACCTTAGCAGTTGGAACTAGGTATGACGGTGCTTATCTTAAACCCTAACAGTTGTGAGGCCGAGGCAGGAGGATTGTGGGTAGGATAGTGACTATAAAACTAGTCTGGGCTACACAGTGAGTTCACGGCCAGCGTGGGCAAGACACTACCGAAAAATATGGAAAAGAGATCTGTTTGTGAAGATAAATACATGATGTACATCTATGAAAATGTCACAATGAAACCCATCATTCAGTATGCTAACTTGACAAAATTAGTCGTTGCTCAAATAAAAGGCCAATCTTTCCAACTTTAGGCAATGAAAATCACTTCAGGTCAAATGACTGGAAACCTTTCAGAATATGGTCATGTGCAGAAGTACCCTCAGTTTGATTTCTGTGGTGTCCAAGCTGGCCATCAGATTTACCATAAAATCAAGAAGCTTACAAAGGTAATTTCTATTGTTCTAATACTATCAAGAGACTCTAATGAGATCACAGAGAGACAGGGAGAGAGAGAGAGAGGAATCAGAGAAAGGAAGGTAGAGAAAGGGAGGGTGGGAGTATTGCTGGGAAATACAACAGTTGGGGCTTTAGCGCCGAGCCAGAGGCACTTTCCATGTATGGTATTGCTAAAGATTGACTAATTTTCCCTCAAGAGATATATATGCTTAAGTCCTAAACCCCAATGTCTTACAGTGACCTTATTTGGAAATCAATCATTGCTGATGTAATTAGTTAAGATGAGGCCATAAAATAATGTGGGATGGGGTTGTTAATCCAATATGATTGGCATCTCTGTGAGAGGAGAGGGTAGGGAACAAGGATTCTTGAGGGCAAAAGATCACGTGAAAAGAGGCAGAGATTAGAGTGACAAGTTGTAAACAAAGAAGCACCAAGAACAGAGGACCACCAGAAGCTAGGAAGAGGCAGGGAACAATGCTGCCAGAATCTGAGGTGTGTGACTCTTCCAGCACTTTGATTTTAGTTTGGTGGCCTCCAAAACCATCCTCTGTGAATTGAAGGTATGCTGGCAGCCCTTAGTATCTAATACATATACCAGGCACAAAACAAAACAAAAAACTTTAGTAATACAGAAGGCACCAGGACACTTAATATTGCTGTTAATGATGTTTTGAAAAATTAAATTATAAAACCTGGATTGACATTGTCTATCATAACGCAGAAAAAATATACTAACCTTTCTAGTCAATGAAAGTAGTATGGCATCCATGAAAATCCTAAACCCAACATGCTCACCATGAGTCTTGACATAAATCTAAAAGAGAATTTGACATTTATTATGTATGTGTAAAATCCCTGGCAGATGCTGCTTCAGATGGGCTTGTCAAAAGATTGCACAAGAATGATGTTTAACAAAAGTAGCCAGATGTAACCAAATGGTCAGAACACTACAGAGCCCTGAAAACAAGCAAACCTCAATCATACTGTACCTTATTGTCCTTTAAGGTATAGTGACACAGGCTCTGCCTCTGCCCAAATCGTCTTGGGATTTCTGCTGCAATCTTTTCAGGGTCCACAGTAGGAAAATGTGACAGATCTTTCTGAATCTGACTGATGGTTTCTGGACAGCTCATCTCCTGTAGCCAGGCTGCACTGTCTTCCAAAGGGCAGTCACAGTTCTCATGGTAAACTGGTCCTATTCACATGTGAACAGCAATTCAACACAGTGGTAAACATTTCACTTAATAACTTAATCATAATCAACAAATGCTCCATGAACTTGAAGCAGCTTTCTGTCGTACCAGCTTTTCACAGCTCTTCTTCCTATACTTCTCTAGTCTGGCCCACTCTGCACAGGTGCAAATCAAGTCAACGGGTAGCACATACATACTGTACACGGATATAATTCATTACTCTTTATAATTCCTTTACCTAGGAACAATCATGGGGATGGAGAAATGGCTTAGCAGTTAAGAGTGCTTGCTGCTCTGGCAGAGGAGCTGACTATGTACCCAGGACCTACAACCACCTACAAGTGCAGGCACAGGGGATCCAACACCATCTGGCCTCTGGGATACTTGCACATGTGTGAACATACTCTCCACTACAGGCACACACACACATACTATTTTTAGAACCCTTAGAAACAATGACAAAGTATTTGCAAAAAAGTGAGGAATCTCTATAGCTTGTAGAATGAAAGTGATATGAACTACCATTTTACTGGTTTATTATAAACCAAGTTCTTTGGGTGTCTATGGGCTAGAGAGATGGCTCAGTTTTTAAAGGCTAGGCTTACAACCAAAACTATAAAGTACTTTTTTTCAATGGGCAAACCAATGCCAGTAGTAACAGAGGTAAAGAAAGGACTCCAACCTTGTTTTATTTAGTCTTTTTTTTTTTTATAGAAAAAGAAATAAAGAAGGAAAGCAAAGGTAATCCTATAAACCTGTGATCTCATTAATATCACAATGAATTAATTATACAATTAAAAAAATGCTAGCCTAACATAAGAATCTAAATTGTCACTGTGTTATTCCTTTCTGATATCCTCAGTTTCCAAACTGAATCTGATCCAGTCAATAGATGACAATGAAATTTATATATATTTTAATGCTTTGCAGGTTGGATTGTACCATGGAGTCCCAGTAGAATGTAAGAGAAGAATTTGGACAGTTGAAAAAAAAAAAGAAAATCTGTGGGAAACAGGGAGGAAAAGAGGGTGGGAGGGGAAGAGGGAAAGGGCTATGAGGATATAAAGTGAGTAAAATAAATAAATGAGAGACAAATTTTTAAAAATCTGTAATTTCCTTGTGGTCCTGTCTTCTTATACAAGAGGAAAATGTTGACCTTGTATCACAAAGCTCTCTTCCCACCCTGATGAGAGAAACCTCTGTAACAGTGGCACAGAAATGACAACCAAGCCAAAGGTCAATTCCTTTTACTGCTTTAAGCCACCTGGTTGGCCTGGAACTTAGAACATAGACTAGGCTGGCCTCAAACACATAGAGGTCACTTGCTTCTGTCCTTCCTCAGAGCACTGGGATTAAAGATGTGTGCCACCACACCTTGCAATCTTAGTGATAATTATAAGTTAATTAGTTCATTCATTCAAGATCTACGACTACATATCTAACTTGATTATTCTTTTTTATTTCTTTTTCTTTTGTTATTTTTATTTTCTGCATATAGGTGTATTATTTGCATGCATGCCCTGCAGTGCCTTTGGACGCCAGAAGAAGGTGTTATGAATGGAGTTACAGATAGCTTGAAATGGCAGATGGGTGCTGGGAATTAAACTCATGTCCTTTGGAAAAGCAGCCAGTGTTCTCAACCACTGACCCATCTCTTCAGTCCTGATAATTCTTTTTTAAAACTAAGACTTACACACATATCCACACAAAATGAATAAAAAGTCTGAAGTAGTACAGCATAGAGGAGAGAATGATTATAATGGTAGCCATGATTTCTTTGAGACTTTGTTTTAATTTCTTATGTGCATACACACATATCAACTATCATTTATATATATAAAACATGTTATATCTCTTATTGTAAGCTGTGTTCCAAAAGGTTTATTAAAACCTTGTTGTAAGCTATGCATTAAAAACCTCTCTAACGGCAAAACATTTATTATTGTAAATTATATGTGTGTGCATGTATTTGTGTAGATGTGAATGCAGGTGCCTGTGGAATACAGACACCCTCTTCCCTGAACTGGAGTTCCAAGTGGCCGTGTGAGCTACTTGACATGGGTGCTGGGATCCAAGCTCCCGTTCTTTGCAAGAGCAGCATGTGTTCTTCACTTTTGAGCATCTCTTTAACTTTTTAATTTGATTACTGTCACAGATGCGTCTTCAGGGAGCAACTTCTCTAGAAATGTTTCTTGGTCTTTCGTGAGTTATAATCACCATGTAAATAATCAATGTCTCTCTTTTGCTAGGTCTCTTAATTTATCTTTTAATTACAGAAACATCTAGTTTTTTTTTTTCTTTTAGTGGAAAAAGTATGCTAAGTGTTTTGATAGGTTCTTATCGGTGGAATGACAGGTGCTTTTGTATACAAATCCTACTGCAAAACTTTGTTTCAAAATACCTCTTAAAAGGTAAGGAGACTTGGCCACATGTTGACCCAGGTGTTTAACCTCTATCTTCAGACTGCCGTAGCTTGCATACATTCTGTATCTCACTATGAAGGAGCCATCCTTTCGATCTAGAACCTGGACACCAACTCTAGTGAACTGCTCATCGGGTGCTGAGATTTTAACCTGGAACACCTTTTCACCTGGAGACGATGTGAACCTGTTATGAGAAGCAATGAGGTAAGAGTATTATTTTAAGAGCAGATGCAAAATATTTATTCTTGTCAGTCTGTAAAAGGTGAGTGTCCTGTCACACCCTTCTTTTAAGTACGCTTGCTTGCGTCTCTCTCAGGCTTTTTGTACCAGAACCAATGATGGAACAAAAATAAAAAGACAATAATAGTAACATAAAGTTTTTTTTTTTTCAATAGTTGCCAGGAGACACATTAAGACTACCAATCCATTTAGCATACAAATACAGAACAATATTCCTCTCAGCCTGCTACTAATTCATGCTCAACCTCTGGCAATTTGTCATTTGTTAAATGTTTACTTTAAGGATGACCTTATCTTGAAAATTTGCTTTTAATGGCTCAAAAGAAAATTCAGTGTTCTTGGGGCTGGAGAGATGCTCAGTGGTTAAGGGCAATTACTGTCATATAAAAGATTTAGTTCAGTTCCTAGTACCCAAGGCTCACAACCACCTGCAGTTCCTGGTCAAAGAGATCCAGTGCCCTCTTCTGGCTTCCTAAGCACCTGGTCTCATGTGTGAGTATATACCCCCATTCACATTCATGAAATTAAAATGAAATATGCCAGTACCCCAAATTCTGTTTGCAGCTATAGAAAAATCAAAATGATTGGTCTATCATATTAACAACACAATCATTTTGAATTGAGTATTCCTGCATTTGAGAGATGCTTAGTTTTCTTAGTTGAAAGAGCTTGTGGGAAAGCATTTAAAAATAACAAGAGATTTGTTTAGCCTTGATTCCCATCTGAAAAGCTAAGAAAAGAGTTGTCATTACAGCAGTATTATTTATACTACACTGGATACATATTTTGGAATTATTCCTAAGGTTACAGAGAAAAACTGGGGAAGCCTGTTATAACCAGATGTAGATAGCTCTCCAAAATTCTGGAATGTAAACTGTCTGGAGAAAAGACGAGTTGGGGCAGATGAAGATGAAGAACAATAAAACAAATAACAACAACAGAGAGAGAGAGAGAGAGAAAAAAAAATTTTAAAGTACGATCCCAAACATAGTCATTGCTGTACTTACGGTTCCCCCGAGGCATCCACAGCCCGAATGTAGAAATAGCGGGCAGGAAGGACCACGTCTGCTTTTAGCCCGGGTCCCCATATTTCACTCTTCTCTGGGCTCAGCCTCCTCTCTCCGCTGGTCTGGGCAAGTGCTGGCACAGTCCCCAGAAAAAGGAGGGAAAGCAGCAGAATGCTGAACATTTACAAGACCGAGTCTTAGAAGATCCACGGATAAATGCAATTGTGCTAAGTGGACACAGCTAGCCTGGGTACGCAGGGGCACGGTGACCAGCCCTGGCTGCAACCAAGGTCCCTGAAGTGTCGCTTGACGTGCGGGGCCGTTGCGTGGGTCTCCGCTGTGCCCGAGAATGTCACAACCCGAGCGCTGGCATATCCTGGAGAAGAATGCCACCGGTTCTGGTGAACCGGGTAAGAACCGCAGCCTCGCTCCTCTTTCTCCAGGCAATGACAAACTTGCCACTTGAGCATCACTTTGGGGACGAATCCGTAGTAGGTTCCAGGCAAGGTGAGAGGCAAAGGATTGGCCTGAGCGGTGACCAGGCTTAGTAAGGTCTTCTGCTAGTGGATGAGTGGAGTGGACACGCGTCCTAGGCCCTCGGCTCTCTGGGATATGTAGTCCACCGTAGGATTAGCGGAAATCCTGCTAGGGGGCCACCCCCACTGCTTTATTTTCCTTAACTTTGGATCACTGCTTTCGGGCGACCCTTAAATACTGCAGTTGCGCAACTGGCATGTCTGGAGTCACAGCTAAGGCTTCCCAACATATATTTTGTTAACGGCATCCACGGCCACTGCAAGTGGCAGGTATATATATAGGAAAGGATGAAAGGAAGGCAGGTGTTGTCAGTGACATCCAAACACCCGGCGTCAGTGTCCTGGCGCAGTCCCTGTGCGCTCAATGGGACAAAAGACTCTGGGCCTTGGGTAGGAGGCGCCAGGATGCTCATCTGGTGTTGCCTTCCAGCGCCTGAGTTCGGACACCCAACCGGGAGCAGAGGTGTTCCCCAGCGGGAGCGGGAGGGGGAGGGGGCGGCCCAGGGGCAGTTGTGTGCTCCGCCTCTTCAGAGCGCGGGTCACTGCCTCCTTGCTGGTCTTCCCTGGAAGGATCTGGGTCGAGCTGAGTCTCGGAGAAGGTGCACGGGATAGAAGTCGCCGGAACAAAGCTCGGCTTTGGGGTGCGTCTGTGGGTATCCCTCTACCCTCTCCAGGAGAGGGTCTTCACGCTACGCTAGCGGGCCCTGCCACACACCCGGCCTGCGTGGAGTCTTTCTCTGCACACCCGGGAGGTCAAGAGGAATCACAGGCTCGGCCCTCCCACCGCGGGGTAAGGGGCGTGGAAAACACAGACCCTCGGTAGCTCGGCGAGTTAAAGTCCTACTGGTTGTGGTGTGGGGATTCCTTTTTTCGCCATTGTTTTTATTGGTGATATCGGCTCAGCCATCGCGGCCTCCCCTTCCAGCTCCGCGGCTGTCACTGCCCTTGCGCTACTTGACCCTCCGGGCCCCCACGGGTTGGAAGCGGCACCCCGCAGGCGTGTGCGCGCTCCCCCTCGTGGCAAACCTTTTCTTCCGGCTGGGAGTGAGAGAGCAGGCCAGGAGGAGCCGAGGAGGCTTTAGCTGGCCGTGGCCAGTGGGGACTGGGTCCTCCTGGCTCTGGGTTAGCCACCACGGGACGGGAGTGGGGACAGCCGCGCTGCTGTAGTTGCACTCAAAAACGTCCCTGCTGTGCCAGGTCTCCTCCGCCTGCACCGTTGTTACCTTCAGGTGGCCTTGGAGCCTCAGAAGACGACCGGTGGCAAGACTCCTGGCTCCCTAGAGCCTGATCTCAAAGAGGGCACCGTGCGCTGCAGGGATCCCATAATAGCAGGTAGGCCTTCCCTAGAGGGTCTGCTCTGATGGTTGAGGCTAGGGCACTGATAGAAAAGAGTGGGGGTGGGGGCTGAAGTCTTAGCGTTTCTAATCAGTCCTGCGGGTTTCTGTGTCTCAGTTGCTTTCTCTACAGAATATTGAATATACGACTGTGACATGTAGAAGGTTTTACTGAGATTTTATAAGATTTACAGTTCTGTACTGAACTGTGAGAACAAAAGAAACACCATTTTGCCTTCCAGACTCCATCTTGTAACTTACTCAGGGTGAACTGGTTCCCCCCAACCCAATTCCAGTAATAAACCACAGACTGTATCTTGGTAAGAACAGAAGTTCATCCACCTGGGGGCAGCCAATCAGGTCCTGAGGCTAAACCCCCACCTAGTTCCAGGTGTACCTTTTAGATAATTAGCTTCCGCCTGTGGTTTGGCCCAAACTGTCCCTTCTTGCCCCAACCAATGATTTTAAAAATCAACTTGCTTGCAACACTGCTACCCAATCATGTAAGGCCAAGGCCTGGAATTCCCTGCTTGTGGTTTTTCCCTTTAAAAACCCTGACTTCCCTAGGCTTGGGACCACTCTTCTAAACCTGCTGTGTCAGGGACCCAAGCTCGAGCTTGCAATAAAGGCCCTGTGTGTTTGCATTGGACTCGTGTTCCTGGTGGTTTTCTGGGGGTCTCACGATCTGAGCATATCATTTGGGGGCTAGACTAGGACCCTCTCCAGGCCCCAGGTCCCTGTCCATAACTGGTGAGTAAGTTCTGTTACCTGTGTGCCCTGTCCTACTTTCAGTCTGATCTCACATGGACCCACTGGAGGGTCACAGAGGTCTGGAAGATGGTTCAGACCCTGAGGGGAGCATGGAGGGCCTCTTGGTGGAGGCCTGACAGCCCCGCATCAGGTTGATTTTGAAACCCACGATTGGATATTTTCCCCAGTTCTGGGGACTGCTGAACAGGTACTCTCATTTTTGTTTTCAGTCGCGGAGGCTTGGGTGGCTTGTTTGAATGCTTCTGTCTGTTGTCTTTCTGTCCGTTTTTTTTGTTGTCTTGTACTTGACTTTGACGGATGACATGGGACAGACCCCTTCCAACCCCCTTGACTTGGTTATTGCTCATTTCAAAGAAGTTAGGATCCGAGCACATAATCTTTCAGTAGATGTGAAGAAAAGAAAAATGATAATCCTTTGCAGCTTGGAATGGCCAGCATTTGGTGTTGGCTGGCCAGCCGAAGGGCAAACTTTCCATTTGCCCACAGTCCTAGCTGTAGAAGAACATGTCTTCCAGAAGGCACATGGTCGTCTTGACCAAGGCCCTTATGTAGTGGTTTGGAAAAACTTGCTTACTCCTCAGTCACCAGCATGGGTGAAGCCCTTCCTTCCTCTTCCCCTAACTAACCTATCTTTGTCCACAGGAGAGGTATAGGCTTTGGTGACTGAGGACGAGGGACTCAAGAAACCCTTGGCTCCCCTCTACCCAATTCTCCAGGGTGGTTATGATGAAGAGATTATTTTTTCTCCCCCTCCTTAGAGGCCACTCCCCAACCCCTGGGAGCCCACAGAACTGGCCCCAATGGCACCTTCACAAACACCAGCAGGGATAGGGGTCCCCGCCCAGGGTACTCAGAGTCAGAGGGTCGCAAACCTGGAGGCTCCTGACCAGGAAGCTGACTCCACTGTCCTACCCCTGTGGGCTGACGGTCCTGTTGATAATGATTTGAATCAGCCCCACCACTATTGGCCCTTCGCCATGTCAGATTTATATAATTGGAGGTCCCCAAATGCACCTTTTTTTTGAGAACCCCAAGGACCTAATCAGTCTCTTAGAGATTGTTCTTTCTACCCATCAGCCTACTTGGGATGATCGCCAACAGCTATTGCAGGTCCTCTTTACCACTGAGGAACAAGTATGGATCCTCCTGGAAGCTTGGAAACAGGTCCTGGAACAACTGGAGCACCCACCCAGAATCCAGCTGACAATGGTGCTGGATTTCCCATCACTAGGCCCACTGGGGACTATAACAAGGGTGAGGGTAAGGGCACCTCCTTGTCTACCGCTAGGCTCTGTTGGCAGGTCTCAAAGCAGCCGTTAGATGGCCCACCAATTTGACCAAGGTATATGATGTCAGGTAGGAACCTAATGAAAGCCCAGCAGCATTTTTAGAAAGGATCACGGAGGCATTTCGTCAATCAACTCTATAGGATCCCTATCATGCAGACCACCAGTCTATGGTGGTTTTGGCTTTCAATAATCAGGCGGCCCTAGACATTAGAAAGAAATTGCAGAAACAGGAAAGACTAGGCGAAAAATCATTCTGGTGGCCTTAGCTGAGAGAGTTTATAACAACAGAGATAGCGACTGAAGGGGACAGGGTTCAGAACCCCTCCCCGAGCCCAGGATAACTTTTTTTTAAATTCTTTATTAATTAAACTTTATTCACTTTGTATCCCCCTCTGTGGTTCCCTCCCTCCTCCAGTCCCAATCCCTCCCTTCCTCCACCCTCTGCATGCAAGCCCCTCCCCAAGTCCACTGATAGGGGAGGTCTTCCTTTCCATCCTTCTGATCCTAGTCAATTAGGTCTCATCAGGAGTGGCTGCATTGTCTTCTTCTGTGGCCTGGTAAGGCTGCTTCCCCCTCAGGGGGAGGTAATTAAAGAGCAGGACAATCAGTTCATGTCAGAGATAGTCCCTGTTCCTATTACAATGGACCCCACTTGGATACTGAACTGCCATGGGCTACATCTGTGCAGGGGTTCTAGGTTATCTCCATGCATGGTTCTTGGTTGGATTATCAGTCTCAGGAAAGACCCCTGTGCTCAGATTTTTTGGTTGTGTTGCTCTCCTTGTGGAGTTCCTGTCCTCTCCAGATCTTACTGTTTCCCACTTCTTTCATAAGAGGGGAAGCCCATGGGCTTTCTGGTGGAGACAGGAGCACAATACTCGGTGTTCCTTGAAGCGAGAGGACCTCTACCAAAAAGTCCTGGGTCCAAGGGGCCACAGGAACTAAACAATATCCAGAACTACCCAAAGAACTATGGACTTGGGGATGGGATGGTTCATGGTCATCCCTGAATGTCCTTGTCCACTCTTGGGAAGAGACCTCTTATCCAAAATGATGGCTCAGATACACTTCAGGCCTAATGGAGTTCATTTGATGGACGAATATGGAAAGCCTATATGTGTATTGACTTTAGAATTAGAACAAGAATACAAATTGTTTGAGGTGCTCTCCTCCTCAGAAAAGGAGATAGATCTTTGGTTCCAAAAATTTCCCTAGGTATGGGCTGAAACTGAGGGCACGGGACTGGCAAAACACTGGCCACCGGTATTCGTAGAACTGAAATGGGGGCTGACCCCATCTGCGTTCGCCGATACCTCATGCCCCTGTAGTCAAAGAAAGGCATTATGCGCCATATCCACAAACTCCTCAGCCTTGGCAGTCTGAGACCTTGCCAGTTGGCATGGAACACCCTCCTGTTGCTGGTCAAAAAGCCTTGTGGCATGTCAACAGGCCAGTGATGGACATACATCCAACCTAAATCCATACACTCTATTAAGCTCCCTCCCTTCAGAGCGAGGCTGGTATACCTTTCTGGATCTTAAAGATGTCTTCTTCAGTCTACCTTTGGCTCTCAAAAGTCAGGAATACTTTGCCTTTGAATGGAATGACCCAGACATTGGGATCAATGGCCAGCTCATCTGGACACGACTACCCCAGGGTTTCAAAAACTCTCCCACCGTATTTGACCAGGTGCTGCATGAGGATTCGAGTGAGTACCATACCCACCCAAGTTATCACCCTCTCCAATATGTAGATAACCTCTTGATTGCAGCAGATGACCAAGAAAGCTGCTTCTGGGGGACACAAACATTCTTCTGAACTTTGGGAGGTCTGGAGTACTGAGCATTGGCCATAGAAGCTGAGCCTTGCAGGACAGAGGTAATCTACCTGGGCTACATCCTGAAGGCAGGGCAACGATGGCTGTCTCAGGCATGAAAAGAAACTGTGCTTAACATCCCAGACACCCCGGCAGGTCAGAGAGTTTCTGGGATCTGCAGGGTTCTGTAGACTTTGGATACCAGGCTTTGCAGAGCTAGCCAGACCCCTCTATGAGGCTACAAAGGAAACTAAGGAGTTTAAATGGACACCAGGCCACCAACAAGCCTTTAAAAACTTAAAAAGGGCCCTACTCTCAGCTCTAGCCTTAGGGCTACTGGACATAACCAAACCCTTCCACCTTTATGTGGATGAACATAAGGGCATTACAGAAGGGGTCCTAAATCAAACTGTAGGGCCATGGAAATGGCCTGTGGCATATCTGTCCAGAAAGCTTGACCCAGAAGCAGCGGAATGGCCCCCATGCCTGCACATAATCACTGCCACTGCCTTGTTGGTCGAGGATGCTGATAAATTAACTCTGGGACAGAACCTCACTGTTTCTGCTCCCTGTGCCATTGAGGGAGTCCTGAAACAACCCAGATAGATGGCTCAGTAATGCCAGCATGACCCATTGTCAGACTTTGCTAATAAATCCTGAGGCGTACTTTTCAGCCACCTTCCTGCCCAATCCAGATTTGGGCCCGCCATTACATGACTGCTCCCAAGTCCTGGCCCATGTGCATAGTACTAGGGTGGATCCGATGGACAGATCACACTTGGTTCCCTGACGGGAGCAGTTATCTCCAAGATGGCCAAAGGAGGACGGATGCCGTGGTGACCACGGAAACGGAGGTAATTTGGGCTCAGCCTCTGCCCCCGGCAACTTCAGCCCAGAGGGCTGGATTAATTGCTTTAACTAAGGCCTTAACCACGGGCAAGGAGGACCAATCGGTTAACATCTATATGGATAGCAGATATGCTCTTGCTACTGCTCATGTGCCTGAGCCATCTGTCAGGAGAGGGACTACTAACAGCTCAAGGAAAGACCATCAAGAACAAGGAGGAATGTTTACAATTGCTGAAAGTACTCTCATTACCAAAGAGGCTTGTTGTCATTCAT